ATGGATTTTAATTTAGTTTGGGGTGCAGAAAATTTCACACGCTTAGGAGCCACTGTATTCCACTTGGGTTGATGCTATTTAAGCAAACTAAATATGGCCTGAAAAGGACTCCATACGGAGGGAGATCTGTGGGGATCGCTCCCGTGTGAGGCCCCTAGGAAATGGGCCTCGCCAGTAGTGAGCTTGAGCCCGGACACAGATCCCCAGTTGGGGGAGTCAAGCTGAGGGAAAGCAGGAACTGAGAGAGGGACTATGTTATTCAAAATAATTAACAGACATTACTTTATGAATATGAGGACTTGGGAAGCATTGTGTCCACTTTTGGTTCCTTATTATTGTTTCATTGTGTTCATTTTGGACCCTTGTTACATTCGTGGTAAAATATTAACTTAAGTGTATACTGGGCGTAACTTACTTACTGTAACTTACTGGGTGTAACTTACTTACCATGACTTATTGGGCGTAACCTACTTACTGGACCTAACCTACTTACTGGGCATAACTTACTAGGCGTAACTTACTGGGCATAACTTACTGGGCTTAACTTACTTACTGGGAGTAACTTAGTGGGCGTAACTTGCTTACTGTAACTTAAGTATGTTGATCTGGCATAAACAACATTAACTTCAGAAAAGTATATAATGGAACATATTGCAAAAATAAAATTGCTGCATGGGCATAGCGCATGTGGCCCTCCAGACCTCGCTCTTTTCTTTCTCCTTTTTTTCCGGCACATGCTCTCTTCCAGGTTTGGGACCCTCTCGCTGGATGAGATTCCCAGGTTCGTGCTCAGTTCACAACACTGGTACTTCTATATTTGAGTCCTTGTGGACGAACTGTAACCTAATTTAATAAATAGATAAGACTGAAAACCTGACTTAAGAGTATGTGCCTGTAACAATAGTTGAGTCTTGGCCAGTCCCAGAAGCCATACGTCAATCACTCATACACTTTTGAGTGTTCAAACTGTGTTCAAATAAAGCAAATGCTGAGCTGTAACCAATCCAGTTGCTTCTGTTCCTCACTTCTCTTCTTTCGTCTATAAATCTTCCATCATGTGGCTGCACTGGAGTCTCTCTGAATCTGCTGTGATTCTGGGAGCTACCCAATTCACGAATCATTCATTGCTCAGTTAAACTCCACTAACTTTAATTCAGCTGAAGTTTTTCTTCTAACACCAATTGATAAACTTTGCCTTTTCTCTTTTGGGAGTTTTCATGTTCTTATTTATATGTTCTTCTTAAACTGTTGTAATATAGAATGCAGCTACTCTTTCCATTTTGTTATTAAATTTGTCTTATTTTGTCATAAAGAAATGTTTCATTTCTATGTATTCACAGTTTTAACATATTTTCTTTCTATTTCTTGCCTTTGGTGTCATTCTTGGAAAGACTTTCCTGACCCCCTTGCAATATTGAAAGATCATGAACATAAATATTTAAGCTCAGCTGCTATAAAAAACCTCATGAAAGAAAATTAAAAGCCATTCTATATAAAAGAATCTAAAAATGAGCTGAAGTGCCAATAAACACTAGAACCACAAATTTGAAGTTCTAATAAACACAAGAATTTAGAGTTAGTGTTTAGGAATGGTAGATCATACTTACATGAAGATTATAAAAAGGGGAAATAATTTTAACTGAAGGAAGAATAAGGTGACAAGACAAATCATAGAGTGTCAAAGTGGAAAATATTAGGAGGTTTTATATTTGTGCAAGTGATTTAGGTCACGATACAGAGTAATAATAACAGCACAGACTTGAAATCTTACCAAATGCTGAGCATTTGTAATAGAAAGACCTTGGAGCCATATCCTTTAATAGGTAATGGGGACAGAGAACAACCTGGAAAAAGAACCCAGAACCCAAGAGGACACAGACAAGTCCTGCTATGGGTCACTGAGTAGTTGTTTCGAAGTTGTACAGTGGATTTAAACCAGTAATGCAAAAGTATATTATTTCAATATTTTATTTTCACGATAAAAACTTCTCATTACAAAACTGTTCTAATTATTCCTAGTATGCAGATTGGAAATAGTATTAAATGTCTTAAAACAACTTTTATTAATAAAACTTAGTGAGATCCCTGCATTTCGTGTCTCCCAAATCTCAAATCTGTTCTTTTATATATGTGCAATATTTTGGAATAATTGAATTATTGCTCTGAACCCTTTCCACTTAAAGGTGTAGCCAAAAATGCTATAAGCTACTTAAGCTACACAGTAGGTATGAAAGTCTTAACTAGAACAAAAAGTTTCTGTAATTAGATTAACTTTGACCTCTAAGTCATTGTTTAGTAGCTCAACTAATTCTTCCCAGAAATGTGGGTTAATGCTGAGGTTAATTTGCTCAACCTGATCTGATCTCATGTTATTATACAGACCTTTGAATGTAATCACCATATAATTTTTAATAACAACTAAATTAGCATAATATGTTTCCAAATCAGAATCTTTTATCCCATTCTTTTCTGTCTGCTACAAAGATGGAAACATTGAGGGTTATTTTTAAATTATGTAAGCTTCTTGATTAATCCCATAGTAATTCCCTTCACTTTGATCTTACTTTTTTAAAGATTAAGAAAGAGCTCATTTAACTTTCAAATATAACTATATTTGAAATTTTAATTTCAATATTTCAATTGTTTAATTTGCCATTGATTATGTTTTTGCAACAGAAGCAAATATTGAGCAGAATCTTATCTGTTTTATTTTGGAGAACCATCTTGCTACTATATACAGGACAAGACATTCAAACTCTTCATCTTTATTTGCCAAATAATATCTCAGTCAAAGGATACCACCAACAGCATTCAATGACTTGTGAAGTCTTTCACTCCACCCAAAAAGAGCAGAAAATACACATTTTTTCAAGCACTCATGGAATGTACACCAAAATAGACAGTATTCTGGGCCACAAAAGCCTCAACAAGTTTAAAAGTATTGAAATAATACATACTATGTCTTTTGAGGATAATAGAATCAAACTAGAAATCAATAACAGGGGCCAGGAGCAGTGGCTCAAGCCTGTAATCCCAGCACTTTGGGAGGCCGAGGCAGGTGGATCACAAGGTCAACAGACTGAGACCATCCTGGTCAACATGGTGAAACCCCGTCTCTACTAAAAATACAAAAAATTAGCTGGGCATGGTGGCACACGCCTGTAATCCCAGCTACTCAGGAGGCTGAGGCAGGAGAATTGCCTGAACCCAGGAGGCAGAGGTTGCGATGAGCCGAGATCGCGCCATTGCACTCCAGCCTGGGTAACAAGAGCAAAACTCCGTCTCAAAAAAAAAAAAAATCAATAACAGAAAGACGACAAGAAAATCTCTAAACATGAAAAAATTGAAGAATATGCTTCTGAATAAGCCATGGATCAAAGAAGAAATTAAAAAGGACATTTTTAAAAATATGCAGAATTGAATGAAAATGAAAACATAACCAAAATATGTGGGATGCAGCTAAAGCAATAATGTGAGGAAAATTTATAGTACTAAAATGCTATAAATCAATAACCTACATTCCTAGCTCAAAAAATTAGAAAAAGAAGAGCAAAATAAAGCCAACACAAGCAAAATGTTACCTTTAGGGAAACTACTTAAAGTATAAAAGAGGTATCTTGCATTATTTCTTACAACTACCCACGCAAATCAGTAATTATTTCAATTAAAATTCTAATTAAAAATGTCAATTGCATTGCATTTTCATACATCAACAGTAGAAAAATGGAACTTTAAATGAACATAATTTACAAAAGACTCCTAAAAACCCAACAAAATGTGAGTAGCTGATAAAATTATAATTCATAAAATGTATACTGCTAAAACTATAACTATGAAGAAAAATATAATTTATTCCATCTTTTGAAAGATATTAAAGAAGACCTAAATTACAGGAGAGATATTCCATGTTAACAGATTAGAAAACCCAATATTAAACACTTACTGGAGTTATAAACGTAATTTTTAAAAGAAAAAAAAAAAAGAAGACCCAATATCATAAAGATGTCAATTATTCCCCCAATTGACCTATAGATTCAAAGTAATTCTAATCAAAATGCCAAAAGATTTTTTTTTGTAAAACTAACAAGCTGGAAATAAAATGTATATGGAAAAATCAAAGGTCAAGAATAGCCATAACACAGCTAAGGAAAATGAACAAGGTGAGAAGACTTACCCAGCTAGACAGTTAATTATAACACTGTGATTAGGTGCAAAGGTAGAAAAAAAAGACCAGTGAAATACAATAGAGAATCCAGAGACAGGCCAATGTACACATAGAAAGCATACGGTTCAGGGATGGCATTATAGAACAGTGATGAAAGGATAAATTATTCAATAAATGTTGCTGAGACAATTTGTTGTACACATTAAGGAAGGGAAAAAGAACTGATCTACCTGAAACCAAATATAAAAATCAGTTCCAGTGGATTGAAAGTTTAAATGCAAGAGATAAATTTTATAACCATGGAATATAAAAGGATTTCTTAAATAAGACACCAAAAAAGCATATCATAAAGGAGAAAAATACAAATTTTACTTCAATTTTGCTCTGAGAATATTAGCAAAAATACAATACTAAGTGTTGGCAAAAGTATGAAACAATAAGAACTTATATACCGACATCAGTGCCATTTTATTGTTTTTCTTTATATGGTATGCATGCCACAAAAGGTTTTTGTATGTATTGCACATTTAATTTTAAAATTAAATATAAAATGATTTTTTTTCTTGACAAATGAAAATGCTTCTAGTATTTATCATTAATGTGTAGGGTAGATCAAGAAACACTAAGAGCTAGTTCCTTTAAAAGACCAGTGAAATAGATGAAGATCAACAATATAATTAAGAAAGGAGAGACCGGGGATACATAAATAAACAGCATTAAATTTAACGCGGCTCCCTCCGGCCTACCGAACCGCGCATGCGCAGTTGGGAGCGTCGCGCGCGCCCTGTCGCGTAGGCGGCGCTACGTGTGCGTCCCTAACGCCGTTGCGAGCCGCTGACGGAGGAGGCCTCTTGACTACGGTGGGTTTTTTCTCCTCGCATTTAATCTCTCCTTCTGTGCGACCCGGTGCCTCGTGGGCTTCCGTGGGACGCTCCCGTCGGACGTCAACCGACCCAGATTGTTGATGTTACTGTTGGGAAAGGCGAAAAAGGTAGAAAGATCCCAGGATAGCTGATCCATTGTAATGGTTGGAACAGAAGCTGGGATAGATGTGTAGCTGAAGATCATGTGCTTCGTGATCCCAGTAAAAATCGTAGATTAGGAGCTGGGCGCGGTGGCTCACGCCTGTAATCCCAGCACTTTGGGAGTCCGAGGCGGGCGGATCGCTTGAGGTCAGGAGTTCGAGACTGGCCTGGCCAACATGGTGAAACCCTGTCTCTACTAAAAACAAAAATAGTAGCCGGGCCTGGTGGCAGGCGCCTGTCATCCTAGCTACGTGGAAGGCTGAGGCAGGAGAATCGCTTGATCCCCAGAGGCGTAGGTTGCAGTGTGCCGAGACCGCGCCATTGTACACCAGCCTTGGCAACAAGAACGAAACTGACACACACACACACACACACACATCAGAAGAAAAGGAAAGGAAAGGAAATAGCAGATTATAGCGTAAATTGGTGAGAAAAGCTGTAGCTCACCTGAGGAGCAAGGGAGAAAGAAGCAGCCGCTTTAGGTTGCCTGGTGCTGACTCTGTCTTTTTTTTAAAAGGCCTCTCCATCAAAGAAAAAGATGAAAATGTTGAAAACTCATTAAGCAGTTCCTCCAACAGTGGTGAAGACAAGGATGAAGAAATAAGTGAAGAAAGTGATATTGAAGAAAAGACTGAAGTGAAAGAAGAACGGCAGCTTCAAACAAAAAGGGAAATGGAAGAAAGAACAATAACTCTAGAAATCCCTGAAGTTCTGAAGAAGCAGCTGGAGGATGATTGTTACTACATTAATCGGAGGAAATGGTTAGTGAAACTTCCATGTCACACCAACATCTTAACGATTTTGGAATCCTATGTGAAGTATTTTGCTGTCAGTGCAGCGTTTACAGCCAATGAGAGACCTCGTCACCATCACACTATGCCACATGCCAACATGAACCTGTCTTTTATCCCAGCAGAAAAGAACGTTGAGCTTTGTAAGGAGATGGTGGATGGATTAAGAATAACCTTTGATTACACTCTCCCATTGGTTTTACTCTATCCGTATGAACAAGCTCAGTATAGAAAGGTGACTTTGTCTAAGCTTTTTCTTCCAATTAAGGAAAGTGCCACAAACCCTAATGGGAGCCAGGAAAAGCCCTCTCCCAGCCCATGTCTGTTGAATCCATCCACACCTCAGTCTACAGAGAGTCAGTCGACCACCAGTGAACCAGCCACCCCCAGAAAGCGCAAAGCCGAGCCAGAAGCATTGCAGTGTCTGAGGCGGTCCTCACGCCACATGGCCAACTGTGACAGGCTTTCTAAGAGCAGTGCCTCACCTCAGCCCAAGCGCTGGCAGCAGGACATGTCGGCCAGCATGCCCAAGCTGTTCCTGCACCTGGAAAATAAGACACCTGTGCATAGCAGATCATCTTCACCTATTCCTCTGACTCCTAGCCAGGAAGGGAGTGCTGTGTTTGCTGGCTTTGAAGGGAGAAGAACTAATGAAATAAATGAGGTCCACTCCTGGAAGCTTGTGCCTGACAATTATCCACCAGGTGACCAGCCGCCTCCACCCTCTTACATATATGGGGCACAACATTTGCTGCGACTGTTGGTAAAACTTCCAGAAATTCTTGGAAAAATGTCCTTTACTGAGAAGAATCTGAAGGCTTTATTGAAGCACTTTGATCTCTTTGTGAGGTTTTTAGCAGACTACCACGATGACTTCTTCCCAGAGTCAGCTTATGTCCCTGCTTGTGAGGCTCATTACAGCATGAAGAACCCCCAGGCAATTTATTAAAATGTTGCTGGTTCTGTAAAAACAACTGCTCCATCTAGCTTGGCATTCTGAGTTGCAGGTAAACAGCTAACAAGGTGGTGGGCCTTACCCAAAGCACAAACACAACACTCACCTGGGGGCTCTGACAGAGGTGTGCCATGTTGTTTGAGTTGTCCACATACTGTAGTTATTCTGTGTAGAATTATTTGCTAGGTGCCTGAAAGTGTTCTGCCATTACGTTTGTACTTTGCAGGCCATCTGTGATGGCAGGAAAAACCAGCTGTGTTCACAGTTCCTAAGTGTACATAGGTTAAGCCATTTCAGTAGACATTGCAGTTAGCAAGAACCACATTGTTTCACAGTTAGCATTAAGCAAAATTTTTTTGCAGATTGGTTTCATTCTCTTGATGAAGCTGAGGAACACTGTCCAACAAGGTTTAGTTTGTACTTGAAAACTGCAAAGTAATCTGAAAGTATTTCAGAGGGAATCGATATTGATGGCAAAAGACAATTTGCAGCTATGCATTTGCTTCTAACGGTTCCCTCTCTGTGAAACATCGTTTTTGATGATCTAAAGAAAGCATTGCCTTTCTGTTTGCAATTTTACAGCTGTACTTTTTTGTGTAATCTTACGGTTCCCTTTTTGTAAAATGTTCTTTTTGGTGATCTAAATAAAGCCTATCTTTTTTGAGAAAAAATCAAATCAGAGCTATAACTACAGATATAATGATTGGAATATAAGAGAATGCTACATATTCATTTAGACCAGTAAATTTGAAAGTCTTAACAAAATGAATGACTATGTAGGAAAACGTGTTATATAAACTGGCTCCCCTCGAAAACATACGTATTCCTCACTGTAACACCTGACAACCCCAAAGGTAGAAGTTAAAACTAACCCACATATTTATTGTGCACTATCAATACTGACACTTTTTTTTTGAGATGGAGTTTCGCTGCTGTTACCCAGGCTGGAGTGCAATGGCGCGATCCCGGCTCACCGCAACGTCTGCCTCCTGGGTTCAGGCAATTCTCCTGCCTCAGCCTCCTGAGTAGCTGGGATTACAGGCACCCACCACTATGTCCAGCTAATTTTTTGTATTTTTAGTAGAGACGGGGTTTCACCATGTTGACCAGGATGGTCTCGATCTCTTGACCTCATGATCCACCTGCCTCGGCCTCCCAAAGTGCTGGGATCACAGGCGTGAGCCACCATGCCCAGCCCCAATGCTGACATTTTAACGTAAATTTTAGGCCACATAAGCCTTAGCCTTTACAGTCAGAAATTCCTTAGGTGTTAGCCCACAAATTGCCACATAAGAGAAGACAGAAAATCTGTCACTTTCTGTGATCCTAACAGAAAGTCCACAGAGGCATATCTTCCCATTGTGACTTCAGTAGCATCAAATAGGAAAGTGATAATACCATGAGAGAATGATGTGCCACCCACAGTATCTGAAGTACAGACAAAGCTGGGTGTATTTTTGGCTAGTTAATTTGAGCAAACCCCTTAAGTGTCCAGATGCATTCTTCCTAGATTATCATAATTCTCTTGCATGTCCCTGAAAGGATAAGCTATGTCACAGGGCTAAGAAGTTGAACTGTGCTAGTCCAAGTCGGGATGTGCTCTAAGTGTGAGATACACACTGGATTTTGAAGACTCGGTATGTAAAAATAAATGTAACATATCTCAGTAATTTTCAGCATTGGTTAAATGTTGAACTGACAGTATTTTAGATAAATTGGATTAAATTAAATGTATAAAAATACCTTCACCTGTTTCTTTTTACTTTTAAAAAATGTTAATATTTTAAAAACTTAAAATTACCAATGTGTATCACATTTTATATATATATATACTTTTTTTTTTTTTTTTTTTTGAGATGGAGTCTTGCTCTGTCGCCAGGCTGGAGTGCAGTGGCACAGTCTCGGCTCACTGCAATCTCCGCCTCCTGGGTTCAAGCAATTCTTCCGCCTCCGGAGTAGCTGGGGCCACAGGCGTACACCACCATGCCCAGCTAATTTTTGTATTTTTATTAGAGATGGGGTTTCACCGTGTTGGCCAGGATGGTCTCGATCTCTTGACCTCGTAATCTGCCCGCCTAGGCCTCCCGAAGTGCTGGGATTACAGGTGTGAGCCACCGCGCCCGGCCCACATTGTATTTTTAATGGACAGTGATGCTCTTGAAAGTATTACCTCTGTGGCATGGACTATGTCAAAAACTCATTGCCTTTTTTAACTATTCTTTGATCCAATATCCAAGGCTTATTTAGTCTCATGTATCCAAGCAGTTGCAGCCTCCACTAAGTTAGTCAAACCATCATTTGGTCTTGAACTAGGATTACCTTTAAATCTGATGTTAACATATGCAGCAAATCCCTACTCTTAGAAACCACCCAACATTTTTCTGCTGTTTACTAATTTGATTGTTACTCTTCCCTTCACATATTACCATATTCCTATGTAACACACTCAGTCTGGCAGCCTTCTGTTATTCTTATCCAGTGAAGGAGAAGCTTATACTTGTGTTCTCTTCATTCAAAAGGTATCCATCCCTATAATCAATCTCTGGATAGTCTAATACAAAAATCCCAATGTAATGTTTTTTTATGTTATCTTAAAAATGAATAAAAAGAGATGATGCCAGGAAGTATAGGTGATAACTACTTTTCTTGCCCAATTCTAGGCTTTATTAGAGGGCCGGATTTTATAATATACCTCTCCTAAGCCATTGCTTGTGGAGTCAATCTGAACGACAATTTGAAGTCAACTTGAAGGGTTAGTTGCCTTGCCCACTCTTAGAAAAGACCCAAATAATAACCATTCCTATAATGAATGCTACCAAGGTGAATTTGATCAAGGTACATAAAGCCAGTTTAAATTCCTTAGCCCAAATAGTAGCTATGGATAATAGAATAAGCTTGGCTTTTATTTGGGCCAAATAAGAGAGTCTAGGCCATCACTAATAATACTTTCTGCTATATCTAGATTAATTCTATAAGTGACTTGGACCAATCTATGTCAAAGCTAAAAGAAAGGCAAGGTGAGCTATTCAGGCAGTTGTTGAGAATTCTTTTCTTAGGAAATCACCCAATCCCTTCTTAAAATAATATTCCTTTTGTTTTTGTTTTTATTTTTGAGATGGAGTCTCATTCTGTTGCCCAGGCTGGAGTGCAGTAGAGCAATCTCAGCTCATTACAACCTCCATCTCCCAGGTTCAAGCGATTCTCCTGCCTCAGCCTCCCCCAGTAGCTGGGATTACAGGTGTGTGCCACCATGCCCAGCTAATTTTTTTGTATTTCTAGTAGAGACAAGGTTTCACCATGTTGGCCAGGCTGGTCTTGAACTCCTGACCTCACATGATCCACCCACCTTTGGCCTCCCAAAGTGCTGGGATTACAGGCATGAGCCACCGTGCTCAGCCTATATATATATTACATATGTATTTATATATATATACATATTTTTTAATCTCACAACTGTTTGAGATCTGTTGTTCAGAGTCTTAAAATGCTTTTGTGCAGCTACTGTCCTGACAGATGATTCAATGAAATATTCGAAGATAAAATCAGAATGAAATTCTGCTGATTCATGTTCAGATTGAAAATACTATCTTTGCAAATGAAACCTCTTCTTCAGGAAGAATCATCCATTGTGGTAAAGAGGTGGGTAATTTTTTACGATTCTTTCTTGTAACTTTGGCTGAACGAGAACAAAGACAGGGGACTGAGAATAAAAAGGGTTCCATGGACCTCTCTGACGACTCAGCAGTGTCACATGAGTACCCACACGTGCACAGACTGCATCAGCCCCTGACACCACTGAAACTCCGTGAATCCTGAACGTCACACTCTTCAAAACTCCATCTACTGTCAGCAGAAAAGACTAGCATTTGAATAGGCAGGCCAAGTCAAGAAAATCACCCTCACCGATGTGGGTAGGCATGGTCTAATCTGTCGAGAACCCCTGAATGGGATAAAAAGGTAGAGGAAGGGTGAGTTTGCTTTCTCCTTGGGCTGGGAGATCTAGCTTCTGCCTTCAGACATCAGAGGACCTGATTCTTGGACTGGAACCATCCCACTGCCTTTCCTGGACCTCCAGCTTGCAGACAGCAGATGGTGGGAGTTCTCGGCCTCCATTAACACAAGAACCAATCCCTCAAAGTAAATCTCTATCTATCTGTCTATCTGTCTATCTATCAATCTATCTATCTATATCATATTGGTTCTGTTTCTCTGGAGAACTCTGGCTAATACCTAAAAGTTGTTTCCTAAAGGAAAAAGAAAGTACTCATCTAATGAAGACACCATGTTGGAATTTAGGAAAGGGCTTCGGATTGTTATGAATTTCCACTGCCTGGACGGTTTCAGTAAGTCAAGATAGACAAGTTTATTTGCCCTCAAGACTTCTACAACTTCCGGCAAACCTCAAGTTTGTCTCTGATAAGCTGGCACAATAAGACATTTTTAGGTTAAGACCAAATTTCTCATTTTCCTCTTTTTTACCTGGTTTCAGTCAGTTTGCCTTCCTTATTCTTTTCAGACAACTTTAAATTTTGACTCTGAAGGGGATGATGTTCTATGGAAGTCGGATTTATTGTAGATACAGTGCCATACATATCAAAAGAAGACCTATATTGTTGTCTATCTGTATTTATAGACAATTCTCTTTAGAAGATTAGAGAAAGAACAGGGAATTTGGGGGTGCTAATAGCTCCCCGAGAGTAGCACCGTTGAACAGATTTTGAACTATAATCTTTATGTTTCTCAGTAAAGGTCATTGGCTCTTCCAACACCTTTCTTCTCAAAATCTACAGGTGTCTTTATTTATACCCTCGCGATACTTAGAGAATACAGAGACCCTTAGATTCTTGTTTTTATTCGGGGAACCAGTTGTTTCATTTATAGAGCTGTATATTTATTTTTATTTCTAGCTTCTTTTTTTCTAGGGCTCAGCTACTTGTTAGAAAATGATCTGGGCCAGGCGCAGTGGTGTACGCCTGTAATCCCAGCACTTTGGGAGGCCGAGGCAGGCAGATCACGAGGTCAGGAGTTCGAGACCAGCCTGATCAACATGGTGAAACCCAATCTCTACTAAAAATACAAAAATATTAGCCAGGCATGGTGGCATGCACCTGTAATCCCAGCTACTTAGGAGGCTGAGGCAGGAGAATTGCTTGAACCTGAGAAGCAGAGGTTGCAGTGAGCTGAGATCGTGCCACTGCACTCTAGCCTGAGTGACAGAGCAAGACTCCATCTCAAAAAAGAAAGAAAGAAAGAAAGAAAAGGATCTGTTACCTTCTAAATTCACAGTTTTCTATTTTTTTAAGGCTCCTGATTCAAATCAGAGTCCATTTTCAACTGTTGATTCTATCCTAGGACACTGTTCAAAAGGTTCCTGGAATCTAATTTTTAAATCTAGTGTTTATTAAAATTTTAATCTTTGTCCAATTTACTATTTAACATATTTCTCAAATGATTTTAACGAGCTTCCTTCTTTTTGTCTCTAAGAATTTTTTAAATTTTCAGATGGATTATTTAGATCTTTGCTTTTCTAACCTCTTGTTTTTAACTACTTTCCCCATTTGAAGGGCTAAAATGAAGTGAACTAGTCTATACACATCTAGCCATTCATGAAACTAGTACATAGCAAAGATGCTATTGCAAATATCTGTCCATCTTCCTGAAGTATAAGAAAATATAGCATTGCTATGGACCGAACTGTGACCCCCTAAAGTTTATGCGCTGAAGCCCTAACCCACAAGTGACTATATTTGGAAACAGGGCCTTTAAGTAGATAATTAAGGTAAAATGAGGCCATAAGGATGGGCCCCTGATGCAATGGGGTTAGTATTCTTATAAAGAAGAGACACCAATGAGCTTGCTCTCTCCCACATACTCTCCCCACATGCACAATAAAGAGGTCATGTGAGCACATGGCCACCTGCAAGCCAACACAAGAGGCTTCAGAATGAAACCCACCTTGCTGGCACCTTGATCTTGGACTTCCCAGCCTCCAGAACTGTAAGAAATAAATTTCTATTGTTTATAAGCTGGTGAGTCTATGGTAGTCTGTTACAGTAGCCTGTACAGACCATCTTTGACTCAGCTCTAGATTAGGTTTTAAATTCAACTTCTATATATTTGCCTTCTAATCTTGCACATTTACGTGAATGTTCCTTTCCTGAGAAATCCTAAGACAATACTAGCTCATTTAGAAGATCGAAGGAAGGAAGAAAAGATTAGAAGGGGTACAAGTGAAAACTTGCTGAGATCCAAACAGGCTGGGTCTCAGAAGGTTCGTGTCCTTGGACAACTTGTGTTTTCAGCTCCAGCACACCAAATAAAGAAGCTGACTATTGAAAGGTTGGTGTCTTTGCCTCCTAATCTTTCTAGAGTGCCTCCTAAAATATGAATTGATTTTGACACAGCAAACTTTCCCTAAAATGGTCATTGTTTCTTTTGCCTTTTACCCAAAACAGTGCAAGAGTAAGGATCATAGTGAGACTTTATATAGAAAGAAAAATTTCTTGTAGGGGTTAGAAAATTTGATAACACACAAATCCACGTAAAGAAGATGGGTCGCTACAGTCGACTGTGTACAACTTGTGCTCATGAGTGGTGTCAGAAGTTGACCAAGCAGAAGTTAGAAATCAGCAAGACTGCCAATGACCCAACAGTTGTTTGACCTAAAATCTGGACTGAGCAAAGGGGTCTTCTTGCACAGGTTAACAAAAGTGTAAATGTCATTTTGAAGGTTTTGTAGAGTACCCAAGGTGAAGTTCGACTAATTGCTTTTTCACAAAATTGTTACAGATCTAAGGTACCTCTGATCATTTGTCTTCAAGACTGGATTAGATTGAAGCAGAAAATAATCAACTTATATATGCATCTGTCTTTTGTGGAACACTCCCTTAAACGATCAATAAACACAAGATAATCTAGGACAAAACAAAGACAGTTGAAATAAGACTGCCTACACACACACACACACACACACACACACACACACACACACACACAGCAAGCAGCAGGAGAATAAACAAAGATGTTTACTAAATGTTTTATCCCCAAACCATAAGGTCTAATGATCTTATACAAACACCTAGATCTAATTACTTTGGTTATAAATCCTAGGGTAACAAAATAAATTCAGCAACGAGAGCTCAATGAAACTAGCCAGAACTCATTGTTGAGGCTGGCTTACCTGGCAGCAGATATGAAGGATAGAGTTCTGAGACATATATACTCACACTTTTAAAACATGTATAATCATAATTTAAAAACATATGATGTATACTTTTTAAATGCAGATGCATAATACAGGTTTATAACCTTTTTTGTATTAAAAAGATCAAATACAATTTTGATATCAATAATTACAGGCCTTCAAAATTGTTCTCAATGGAATGCAAGTAAGTATCTCTCACCATTTATTTTGCCATCCTTCTAGTACTGGACTTTATAAACTGCTTCGCAAAAGCCCCTCCAGCTAAATTCTTGCCAACCTCCTTCATTACTTCAGTTAGAGGTGAGATTCATTAAATCAAACAATGAACACGTTTTGTGAGCTTGACTGACACCTCGTGCAAAGTCAACTTGTTGCCTATTTCACAGCCTCTGTGTTTGCATCAGCTCTAGGGGAACACAAAACAGCAAACTTTTTTTTTTTAAGAGTATTTTTAAAAATTTTTAAATTGTACTTTAGGTTCTGAGGTACATGTGCAGATCATGCAGGGTTGTTGCCTAGGTACTTACATGGCAAGGTGGTTAAGAGCAAACCCTTTTCTTAGCAGCCTAATGGGTGGGGTCTGATGTTTGTGACTGATAATTTGTCTCAGACTGACATTTTCACCGTTACATAGAGGTCTCTGTGACAGTGCTGGGACAGCCAAAAGCTGAGCTTCTCCAACCACAGACTGGTGGTAACATTTCCACCTTTCCAACAGAAAAATATTTATATGACAACTCGATGCAGAATACATCTCCATCTCTTTTATTTGAAGTAAAATTCAGGCACATTTTATAAGAGAGGCCATAATATAACTTCAATGAGAACTATTTATCCTAGGCATTTGAACAGCACTTGGAGGGTTGGAAATCCCAGCCCGGCCAGCAGAGGGCACTGTGCAGGTACAGCCAGAGCAACAGCCCTTATCCCTGGAAACCCTGTAAGACTCCAAGATGCTGCACCCAGAAACTTGCTGCTAGGGAAGGAGCTGACTTGTGATCCTTCCCCTTACGTGGGAGTGGAAAGTGGTGGGAAATGTTTGCTTAGCAGGTCTGGAGTAAAATGGTTAGGCTGCCAAGGGTGGCAGGGTGAGGTATTACAGAGAATGGCATCACATGAGAAGCATTGGGCAGGGTTACTCTTTCCTTAGGTGGAGCACCACTTTGGACCATGGGATGGGAAAAGCCAGTCACAGACGACTGGAAGACCAGCAGGCCAAAACAAAAAGGGTTAAGGCAAGGACTGTGGCTGGCTCAGAAGGGGTTTGGCTAAAGAAAGTATGTTGTGGACTTCAAGACTTGAACTTGAGATTGAGAAATCTTTCACTGAAGCTGCCCCCCAACCCCTAGGACAGAGGCAGATGCTTGGATTGTCAGTGAAGTCAGCAAGGGAAACCCTGGAATGGTTTCCCAGGAATGGAGAATAAGCCCTGGAAGAAGCTAGTGTTGAAAACTGGCACTATCATGCTTGTTGGAGAGTCATGGTGTTGGAGAATAGGGAATTGGGGTAGCCAAGGGTTGGGCCATAATCAAAGGAATAGCAGGTGCAGCCACTTTTAAGCAACACTGAGGAGCACACAGGCCACATCTTCACTCCTGTGATAACAAGACGTTTCCACTTCAGCCCTTGAATGGTTGCGGGCCAAGTTTCCGCTTTAGGCTCTCATTGGTCACAGGCCAATCCTTCATAGGGTGTTACCAATTGGAGGCCTCTAAAGGGCACCTAGGGGTGTTGCCAAGTTCTTTTGGCTTCATAAGAACCCTAATTGAAGAGCCTCTGGAGCTGCGTGCTCCAGCCGCTCCCACTCTGCGAATTGTCCTCAATGAATTTGTGCTTTCCTCACTCCGCTCTTCCGTTGCTTTGTTTTTCCTCGCTTCATTCTTTTCTTACTTTGTGTTTTGTTCGATTCTTTGGTAACGCACCAAGAGCTGGACAACTCTATCCAGTAACAATGGAAGAGTAAATCGTCCAAAACTCAAGAAGAAAAAAGGAAATTTTATTCAAGGTCTCAAGTCTCTAAATGTGCCCAGTTAGACGTTTGGAAAGTAAGTTATGTACGGAAACCCAGAGTCAAAGGAAGAGCATGTTAAGTTTCTGAACTTTCCCAAGGAAGGAGGAGGAAGACACCTCCTTGTGAAAACTGCAAAAACTACAAATTAAATGTGTAGATCCTGCAACTGGGGCCAACTCAAAGAGGATGTTTATAAGGGAGGAAGAGATGGAAAGAAACAGGACTGGATAGGTTACCCTGTCCAATTTCCAGGACTCAAGAGCTCGGAATTATCTTCCAAGCCCAGGGTTTTCTTCCAACAGACTGAAATGGCACAAAATTCCTGTTCCCACCTGGATCAGTCACTGGCGCTGGGCCGCCCTGGGCAGCAGGACCTTGGGTGAGAGCTCTCTGCAACTGGATCATCCCGGAAGAGGCTGACAACTGACGGCCCCTGCCAACTGCCTTCCCAGCAGCTGTGGCATCTTGAGGGAAATCAGGCCAGCACATCTCTGTATCCAGCACAACGCAACACATTTTGTAGACACACACACTTCATGAGCCCCGAAGTTCTCATTCTCCTCCGACCCCCACCTAAATTTCTGCGGGACTTCGTGATAGAATTGCCGTGCAGGCTGAAAGGGGGTGAAGAGCCCCCTCTAACGGACCTCCTGGTGCTCTGCAATGCTAAATTATTTTCTTTTCTTTTCTTTTTTTTTTTTTTTTTTTTTTGAGACGAGGTTCGCTCTTGTTACCCAGGCTGGAAGTGCCATGGCGCGATCTCGGCTCACCGCAACCTCCGCCTCCTGGGTTCTGGCAATTCTCCTGCCTCAGCCTCCTGAGTAGCTGGGATTACAGGCACACGCCACCATGCCCAGCTAATTTTTTGTATTTTTAGTAGAGACGGGGTTTCACCATGTTGACCAGGATGGTCTCGATCTCTTGACCTCGTGATTCACCCGCCTTGGCCTCCCAAAGCGCTGGGATTACAGGCTTGAGCCACCGCGCCCGGCTGCTAAATTATTTTCCATCACAGACTATAGTAATCAAGTCAGCCCAAGCACACAAACGTGGTTAAGTGATGAAGCTGAATAAAACTTTCCTAAGGTGTCAATCACAAATTCCATCAACCATACTAAAGACTGATTTATCTTGCTCTTCTTTCTGGAGAAAATATTACAAGATTAATATCAATGAAGAAGCAGAGTATGCAATCAGAAATACATAGGGGGGAAAGGTGGGTTAATAAAAGTATTTTCCTGGATTTTGTGATGTGTATCGCATTTGTCAGCGTCTTTAAATGTCTCATTCGTTGAGACTTATTTTCTTCTAGATGAATATTCACCATCCTACCTCCTTCCGGGTTGGTAATTTGGAGTAGGCCCCTGCCCTCGAAACCCCGCCGGGATCCCAGGCGGGAGGGTGAGGAAGATGGCCCCCGCCCGGCGGCGACCGCCACAGCAAGTCACGCAGACATCTCCAGGCCGAACATGAATCCCACCGGATCTCGCGTTGCACCGAGGATTAATAAGCTCAACAGCTGTGCGGGAAACCACAACCTGCCGCGCGGCGGGAGACCCTCCCCTCCTTTCCGCCCGACTGGCTCCTTGAGGCGTGGCTGGACGCTCGGGCGCGGATTGGCCGGGAGGAGCGACGCAAATTTGTTTGAAAGGCCCAATCAGCGCCCCGCTTCTCCGCGTTAGCCAATAGAAAACCAAGAGGAAGGCAGGAAGGGCGGAGTCGCCTATTTGAGTTGCGGCGCTCTAGGCCCCGGAGTCCGGGTCGGCGCTGAGGTCGGTGTTGGGTAGGCTCCCGGGTCAGCTGCTCGGTCCGCTGTGCTCCTTGGAGGACGAGGGCATGGAAGACGAGCCGCTGTTGCAGAAGCTCAGAGCCAGTCGCCGCCGCTTCCAGAGGCGCATGCAGCGGCTGTTAGAGAAGGTGGGGCCCCCGAGGGTCCGCCAGGAGGGGAGGCCCTCGGGGCGGACTGAGTCTAGGAGGGGACGCAGAACGGGAAGGGGAGGGGGCTTTGGGGGCTCGGAGTGGGGAAGCGGAGAGAAGAGGGAGGCGGAGCTGGGGGCTCTGGGAGGGAAGAAGGAGGCACTGCCGAAGGCTTCGGAGGGGGAGGAGAGGGCCTCCGGAGCCGGGAATGGGAAAGCGGGACTGGGGCTCGGGTGCAGAGAAAAGGGCTTGGTGGGGCTGGGGGATCTTGAGAGGGACGAGCGAGGCGGGGTTGGGGGCTCCGCTGTAGAGACTGTGTTTGGGGCGCCCCAGACCAGACTAACAGCCTCTCGCGGGCTGGCGCCGCCTCTGCCAGGGTCTGGGGCTCCTCGTGGCCCTGGGACCTGACAGGAAGCCCTTTTCTCCCTCGCAGTACGACCAGCCCTTCGAGGACGCCCCGGTGGTGCAAATGGCCACGCTGACCTACGAGACGCCCCAAGGTAAGGATCATCCTCCCCTTCTGAGTGTTCGGGTGAAGAGTGTGAATGGAGTAGTTGAAATCCTTTCCCTGCTCTATTATGAAGTAGACATTGTTCACTTAATAGGAACCAAAACATCGGTGCCCTTAAACCTGCGAATTAATTGAATTACTTATTAAAGCAATTCCTGAAAAGACAGGTGCCTGCCTCCTGGTTCACATGCCTCTGCCTTGCCGGGTTGGCATCCCCGCTGGCCACCTCCCCACCGTGGTAGCTTGGGCCAGTTGCTTAGCTGGACTGGTCTCAGTGTCCTCATCTGTGAAATGGGAAGGATGACGACAGTAACATCTCCTAGGTGTGGGTGTTGTGACAGTTACTCTGCAACTCTGGGAACAGGACACTCACATGACTTGTTTGCCCTGTTTAGCTTGGAGTAGCAACTGTCTTCCACGAAGCTCCAAGTACTTGAACAGGGAGAAGAAGGCAGTCCGTTAAATCAGACTGAAATCGTATGGGTTCTTTTTGGTAAATTAGCCGGTGACGCTTTGCACTGCCTGGGGTCAATTCTTCCCATATAGCTTTATAACTAGCTCATTACAACTTAATGAAAACAAACCTCAGAGCAAGTTCTATGTTGTAGTAAACAGGCACAAAAGGTTCACAAGATCTGCTCCTTGAATTAAAAGAAATCCTACCTTTCTGCCTTTATAGCCAATCCAGGCACACCTGGGGTGAAAAGTTTACACAGGCAGAAACTAAAATATTCCAGTGGCAGTTCTCTGTGTAACGTGTAAATTGCCCTTAGAAAGCATTCACTCTGTATATCGGATATAGAGATTGCCTGCAAAAAGTGCTAACTCTATATATGGTATGTAGATTGCCCTCTCTATATATTTTAGGGACAGTCATTGTCATATATATGTTCCTTGTTTACATTTGACTTTTTGGGCTAATGATATAATTTAATGAGCCACTGCCTAGTAGGTGGGAGATTTCCATGAATGACAAATTTGCCTTAACAACCTGAAACTTTACCAAGATGAACAACAGCAGGGTATCAGAAATGGCTTGGTTTTAATATTGTACCTTTTTATTCGCCTGTCACTGTGGCTTCAGGTGAATACAGACTGAGCAGAAATTCAGCATTCAGGATTATTTAAATGGTCGTTTTTCTTTCTTTTCTTCAGGATTGAGAATTTGGGGTGGAAGACTAATAAAGGAAAGAAATGAAGGAGAGATCCAGGTAGCAAACGTGAAATTTTATTGCCAAATAACCTTGCTGTGGAGGGGGCTTGATGTGGATACAGGTGTGGGTGTACCCAACCTTGGAGGCTATGGAGAGGCCACCAGGGAGCACTTTTTCTCATCTTGACTACACTCTTTCTGTTTTTAAGGATTTACTTAGAAGCGTTTTTGCTGTTGCTTGTCCAGTGCAAGGAGGCACTGTGTAATGTTTGGCCTTTTTTGTCACCCTGTGTTTCCTGTGTCACAGGCTGAGGGGCTCTGATAACACGCGTGCAGGGGCTGGGCCAGCCCCAGCTGGCCACGGTGCCATCCCAGCGAGGGGCTCACTCTGTTGAGACCTTACAGAAAAGACCAAATCCAGTTCCTTCTAGAGAAAAAAAAATGCCTCCCTTCCTCTTTTGAAAGCGGAGGAAGAGAGACAAGGGAGGTGCGGTGTGGAGGATCACACATCTTTCCCTCTGCGTTTTTCTACCTTCCAAAGACCTGAGTTTCCCCACCTAGTTGATCTGAAGGTGTTGCAGCTCTGAGACCCATTATTTTAGGGGAAGGTGCTGTTGGCACCTGCAGGGACACCCAGGAGCCCTTTTGCAAGGTTGTCTGGCATTCGATTAATCACTGCCTCTCAGATGCCACATGGTTCCTCCCTGTGGTCACAGGTCAAGGAACCTGTACCCAAGAATGAAAACATCAAGGTTAAGGTGACGTAATATTAACAACAAATTGGAAGTCAAATCTTCTTTATTAATTATTCTAGTGATAGAAATGTTAAAAGTACATCCAACTCCATAAATGAGCTGATTTATCTATGCAAAGATGGTCACTCGTGCTATTTTAGTACAATGTGATTTCCTATAACATTTTTATAAATGCATTTTTTTATCTCACTTTTCCAGTTAATATATATGGAGAACTCTTCATCAACTATTGTATAATTGTAAAATTATATAATTATTTTTTAAACTATGCTTTTTTAACTGATCTATTGATAGGCAATTCACTATTTGTGGCTTCCTTTATTATAAATAAGAGTTGGCACACTTTTTCCACAAAGGGCCAGATGGTACATATTTTAGGCTTTGCTGGCTATATGGTCTCTGTTATGACTACTCAGTTCTGTGTTGTAGGGGGATAGTGACCGAAAAAATATGTGAATGAGTATACATGGCTGTGTTCCAATAAAACTTTACTTATAAAGCCCCTGTTAGAAATGGTTCTCAGAGAAAATCCTGGTCCTTATCTTCTCCCAGTACTGATATGCACCATTTTCAGTAGATGCTGAGAAGTAGGATTAAAGGATATATGCTGTTTTAATTATACATAATAGAGATGTCCACTCATCATTTGAAGATTTATTTAGGTTTTTGCTTAAAATGTAGGAGGACCCCTACCTGGATCTTCAGAATCTTCAGACCCTTTCTTGGGATTAGGCGGAAACTGGGTGTAGTCTGAGATTCCAGCAGGAATATCTCTGACTTCACTGTAATTGCTGTTGGTGACAGTGCCCGGATCCGCCTTCACCTTTTCCCAGACAACTTGGTGTTCCTGCTGCCCTGGAGCCTGCGGGAGGCAGTGGGCCCTACCAGGCCAGGCACTGAGCTGTGCTAGTTTGATTATAGCACATGCTTGGGCTCTCCTTGTAGCTATCAGAGCTGCCAGGTGGTTTGGGGTTGGTGTAGATCATCTGCTTCTCTGTGATTCTCAAAGCAGGTTCTGCCTCAGACACAGCCACAAAACAACCCTGCAAACACTAGCTTACATGATGGTTTCACTGGAAGCAAAGGTTCTGATATTCTGGAAGTGGGCTTCAGTTACCCTGTATTACTCATGGGTAACCCCAAGTCCCCTGAACCCTCAGAGTTGACACCTGAAGACCATCTCTAATGGTATAGGCCTCACCACCTTCTCACTACCCTGTTCTTATAAGGCTGGGTGGTTCCTAAAATATTAATATTTTAACCAGTCTGGTATCTTGAGTGCTTGAATTTTGCTAATGAGAACCCACCAGTACCATTTGCTGGGATTATTCATGCTAGAGAGCAGGCTCTGGAGAGCTGAAGCAGGCCTGCCCAGGAGTGTGGCCGCCTGCCCACCAGGTGTGAGCTCCTGGTGAGGACAAGCAGCTACCCTGTGAGTATAACTTAGGCTTAAACTGACTCCTCTCAGCCCTTTTTTTTTTTTTTTTTTTTTTTTTTTTTTTTTTTTTCAAGACAGTCTCACTCTGTTGTCCAGGCTGGAGTGCAGTGGCGTGTCTCAGCTCATTGCAACCTCCACCTCCCAGGTTCAGGCAATTCTTCTGTCTCAGCCTCCCGAGTAGCTAGGTTTACAGGTGCACGCTGCCATGCCTAGCTAATTTTTTATATTTTTAGTAGAGATGGGGTTTCATCATATTCCCCAGGCTGGTCTTGAACTCCTGAGCTCAGGTAATCCATCTGCCTCGGCCTCCCAGAGTGCTAGGATCACAGGCATGAGCCACCAAGCCGGCTGTCCTCCTGGCCTTAGGCCTTAATACTCCATCACATTCTTTAAAGATCACAGGAAGTCCCCCAGGGGCCACTGGACTATTTCTGTATTTTTTCTGATGACCTCAGGATAATTTTGTTCTGTTTCAGTTTGGTTTTTTGCTTGTCCCAGTCCCTATCATCCTTGGGCCAGTGTTAGGAGGTATGAGCTTATCTGCTTGCGCCTGGGCCCCAGACTTTCCCTGCTCCTTCCCTACCTTCCAAGTGGCTTTTTAAGTAGCAGCTTCCAGTGCAACCGAGTGAGCCTCAGCTTCCTCCTCTGCTCTTGAGTCCTCTCATAAAGGGGACATGCAGGGAGAAGAGAAGCCTTGTGGGAGGCTCCTGTTGTCACCCGCGTGAACAGAGGGATTGCAGGTTTGTGACTTTACCGTGACTGAAATGTGCTGTCACTCAAACAACCATGTCTTTATTAACTTCTGCACTCGGAGGACTCCCTCGTGAGGCCCATGGACAGGACAAATGGCTCGGTGCAAGCTGCAGCCCGGGCTCCTGAGCTTCCTTCGTACCGCACAGTCCTGGGAGCCGGTGAGTGTCCCCTTTGTCAGAGAACTGAGGGCAGGAAGGACCAGACCTGACATACCTGTTACAATAGCTGAAAGCCGAGATTCCTCCGTATTAAAAGTTTTTACTTTTTCTAAGGTATATCTTCAAAACTAGAATCGTGTTAAAGTATGCTGTTGATTCCTTCTGAGCTCTGCCCTGCCCACAGTTACATCTATTAGCCTGACATATAAATGGTACTCAGGTGATATTTCTTGAGTAAATAAACATGCTCCTCCATGTGAAAAATTAGTACCCAGAATTAAGATTTGCCCTTACAGGGTGGTGTTGTGAACGCTCACTTCTCCAGGGAAGCTTCCCGAGTCGTCTTCCTAGGAGGCTCCTTCCTTTCCCCCAGGTCAGCCACTGCCCAGCCCCATCCTGTTCTCTTTTCTTGGGAATCTGTCCCTCACCCCTTCCTTCAATCTTCAGCCTCTGTTCCCTGGATCCATCCATTGGTGTTTAGATGTGCCCAGACTCACCTTAGACACATCAGACCCTTCGTGGCTCTCCCCTGTCCTGGGCCCCTTCCTTTGTCCAGTTCTCTTTACAGCCAGAGTCAAATGACCTGCTCCATTTGCTGCCATGGGTTCCCTACCCCTCCAGCCCCGTGCATTCCTCTCTCAATTCCATTCTGGCTCCATCTCTAAAGCCCAACTCTGGGTGAGGTTTCTCACAACCCTGTTGCTAAATCCTGTTGGCAGTCTTTGGGTTTTGCCCTCTCCGTAGCATTTAAACCTTTTGGGCCTCTGTGGTCGCCTCCATCTTCTTCCTTCCCAGCCTGCAGTCTGCTCACCTCCCAGCCCTGCCGGGTGCCCTTTCTGGAGGATTTGTCTGAGCCGCCTTTGCCCCTTACCCGGGTGGAGCCATAGCTTCGCTGTATGCTGACTATAACCTCCAGCCAGAGCTCAACAGGGGGCGTGTTATTGCCTAGCAGCCCCTCTGCTTCAATACTTCATGTCCAAACTTGGCACAGCTAACACTCAGCCCGGCAGACAGGCTCCCCATCTTCTCTTCTGCACCTCAGTACAGGCCCCTACCATCTTCCCTCTAGTGTGAGCCAGAAACCTAGGGTCCTCTTCATCTCAGCCTCTGCCTCATTCCTCATGGCCAGGGCATCCCTGTCCTGTGCCTTGTGCCTCATGAGCTCTCATGTCCACCCTGAGCACCAGACCCCATCCCCACCCAGGTTCCCTCTGCCCTACTGACACACCTGTGAATGTGGTCCAGCCACTTCTCTGATGCAACACGTGGCTTCCCATTGCTTTTAGGGTAAAAGGCCAGAACCCAGAATGGGGCCTGAAGGCCCACCTGACCTGCCAACCTGGTCTCCTCACTGCCCCTGGGAAGCCCCTGGGTTCCTCTGTTTGTGGCGGTGAAACATATTTGTCACTAGCCTTTAAATGCCTGTCACCGGCCTTCTGGAACCTCTATCCACTCTGCCCAGCCCCTCCCCTGGCACCTTGCCTGCACCAACAGTTAGTGATGGGTGTTGAGTCACCCAGGGGAAGCTGGTGATCTTTCAGAGTAGAATTGGAAAGCTCTTCGTGAGGATACTTACCTGTGATGCTGTGTGGTTACTGCTGCTAACCCCGATTTTGACTCTAAATCCTTAGGTCCATGAATATCCCGCCTGCTTGAAATCACAGGAAATAGTTATTCGACAGCTATACTGCCCAGTATGGCACCCACCAGCCCCCTCAGGATGATACTTAAATTAGTTGAACATTAAATAAAATTTAAAATCTGTTTCTTCAGCCATAGTGGCCACATTACAGCTGTTCAGTGGCCCCGTGTGGCTAGTGGTGGGCCTGGGACAGCAGACGGAGAACTTCCATGGTCACTGTAAGTTCTGTTGGGCAGTGCTTGACTTGAACGTCTCAACTTCCAGGCTCGGAGGCCGTGGAAAGCTGGAGGTGGTGCAGAATCTGCCTTTCTTTACTCCATGGCCCCAGGCAGATTCCCATTCCAAGGGATTCTCTGCTTTAGTAAGAACCATGGACAGCCACAGATGACTCCAGTGGGTGCAACCTTGAAGCAGTGGGGATTTTTACTGTAGAACTTACTCGATGTGATATACCAAAGCCATCCTTGAGAGGAAAATGCACCCTTTCCTAAAAATCCTGATTGATATTTACTTGTTTGATTTTTTAGATTCAAAAAGCAGTGATGTTGACGTCACTTCAGACCAGGAAGAGTCAGTGGCTTGGGCCTTAGCAGTAAGTCCTGCCTTTAATAATGAATGGACAGAGGGGGTGCTTGGGGGCTCAGGGGTGGATTCATCAAAGCCCATGTGGCCTGGGGCGGGCAGCATTGCCTGCACCCTTCTGGAAATCCTCTCCTGAGGCTGGCTTTTGCTACTTCCAAGTCTTATGCTGTCCAGATTCCCTTAGGTGGTAAGACTCCTTTTCAGTCTAGCACTTGGCAGCCAATTCTACCCCCAGTGCAAGCCTGATTCCTGATGATTTTCACTCTGCAGATAAAGCTGTCAGTGTGGTTGACAGGGCACCATTTGCCTTGATGAGCACACGAGGGCTCTCGGTCTGCCCCACAGAGGCAGGGTCAAAAGAGAAGTGCTCTAGGAAGTATTTCCATGTCTGCCCTCAAAAGCCCCAAGTCACAGGGTTGCCTCATTGGGCGGCCATCACTAACCTAAACAGTAACTGTCATTTAAATGTCTGTTTCCTAGAGTACCCCAGGGTCATAGAAACCCCCATTTCCTTATAGGATGTGCCTCTTACCCTCCTTGGTTGGGATACATGAGAATTCACACAGAGCTTAACCTGCTTGAGCGTCTTTCCTGGCCCCCATGTCACCCCCTGTCACCTACAATAGCTGGTGCACAGTGTTCCTCTAAAATTGCTACTTTGGCACAGAGAGTTTCCCACGTACCCATGTGTGACTTTCAGTGACTAAGAAGAAAAAGGCAGTGGCCCGGGGGAGAAAGTGGGTGCTTACTGAGGGCTTATGTAGGGATTGGCATCAAAGGGAAAGTGGGTGGGGCCAAGAGTCAAGAACCAAAGTGCCAGCCCCACTCTGCAAAGGATGGAGGGTGATGCCCTTCTCTTTCCAGTATCTGGCAAGAGAGGGGCAGGGCAGCCTCCTGAGCTGGAGCACTGAAGTTCTGTTTTTGTTTTTGATTTCTTTGGAATGGAGTCTTGCTCTGTCACCCAGGCTGGAGTGTAGTGGCACGATCTTGGGTCACTGCAACCTCTAACTCCTGAGTTCAAGCAGCTCTCCTGCCTCAGCCACTCAAGTAGCTGGGACTACAGGTGCCCACCATGCCCAGCTAGTAGATACAGGGTTTCACCACGTTGGCCAAGCTGGTCTTGAACTCTTGGCCTCAAGTGATTCACCCACCTCAACCTCCTAAAGTGCTGGGATTACAGGCATGAGCCACCAGGCCCAGCCAGGAGCACTGAATTTCTCATAAACTTACCAGTTTTACTACCAGTAGTTGAGTCCTGAGCTCACCTCAGAATATTCAGATGGTTATATATATTTTTTCTTGTCTAGAAATGCTGTCATAAACTTCTCCAGACTTGGTTTTATTTTGGTTTTTTTTTTTGTCTTTTTACATTCTTTTGGGTTATTAACACAGCAGGAGATGAAAAAGTGGCTCAAGAACAACATGGAGGGGAAAGTGACTTTGAGTAACATCATGTAAAGATTTGTACATTAGTGAGCTTGCCAGCTTGTCCAGAATCCAAAAGGTCCGAAGCTCTTAAAAATTCTGACTTCTCTTTTTTGATCAGCCTGCAGTGCCTCAAAGCCCTCTGAAAAATGAGTTAAGAAGGAAATACTTGACCCAAGTGGATATACTGCTACAAGGTGCAGAGTATTTTGAGGTAATCTGATTCCCAGTATTTGTTTTCATATAACACACTGAGGTACAGTGTTACCATACAGAACCCATAAAGAGCATTTGGAGTCATGATTTCCAAATTGTTTTATTCACATGCTGAGATACTTGCTCTTCTTGAATAAACACTCTAGGTCCCCCAGGGCAGCACCATCGGGAAGGTGGGAACCCTGGCAGAGGCATTCTGCCCACTGTCCTGGGGCAGCTCACAGAAAAAGGTAGTGGGGCAGCCAGGCATGGTGGCTCAGGTCTGTAATCCCAGCATTTTGGGAGGCCAAGGCAGATGGGTCACTTGAGTTCAGGAGTTCAAGACCAGCTTGGCCAACAGGGTGAAACCCCATCTCTACTAAAAATACAAACATTAGCCAAGTGTGGTGGCGAGCACTTGTAATCCCAGCTACTCTGGGGCAGGAGAATCACTTGAACCTGGGAGGTAGAAGGTGCAGTGAACCGAAATCGCACCATAGCACCCCAGCCAGGGAGACAGAGTAAGACTCTGTCACAAGAGAAAGAAGTCTGTGAGGGCCACATCTGGGCTCTTAAGAGCAGCCGCAGCCTCTGGACCGGGATTTGAAGTTGCTTAGTTAGGGAAGCAGTAGTCCCTGCCTTCCCTGGTATGACCAGGCTAGGATCAGCTGCAAGGTGAGGTGGCTGACCCTTGGCACCTGTCCTACCTGTTCAGAGGTCAGGGGATGTGATGGCATGAGAGGTGGGCACACTCACCCACTGCCCCCTCTCTTAAGGTCTGTACCCTCTATCATAGGATAAAGGACATTGCAACACCAAATACCTAGGAAGTACACATTGCAGAATAAAATTCATCTTCAGAAAAAAGCAGCAGTCTCACAGAGGTGCATCTGTTTTCTTTCCGTGCTGCTGACCAGTGGAAAGTCTGTATTTGAGGACCACTGACTTAGTGGATGTACCTGAATGCTTTTTCCTTTATTCCAAGGCAGCAAGTGGTGTCCTCTTGGTTGCTGTTTTGATCGGGGAACAGATTAGGGTTACGAGGGGCTCTATCGGGTCTTCCTTGTCCACCGTCCACCTGGCCTCTGGGTGTTCATGTGGTCCAGGTATAATGGTAGACAAAGCTACCAGCACCCCCAGGGTAAGAAGTAACTGGCAGATGAGTGCTGACTGTGGCTGGAAGCTATCCTGGAGACCACTTGGAGTGTCCAGATCTTACTAGGACACTTTTTCCTTCCACTGCCCGAAGCCCAGCTGGCCACTGTTGTCACGTTCACACACCTGTCAGCATGGCTATGCTAAGATGCACAGTCCATGTTGACAGGGAAGCAGCTCCTTACACCATCCTTGGGGATGTCACATTGTCAAGGGAGAACCCAGCTCCTTGTACCCAGTTGACACCTGGCAACTTTTTTGTTGTAACCACCGGCTCTGATTTCAGTATGCAGCTAACAGAGCTGGAAAGGATGCACGTGTGACTCTGCTCCCTTCACTGGCCTCACCCGCCATGCCTGCCCCTGGTGAGTGTGACACAGAAACTGTGAACTGTGCGTGTCTCCTTCACTTTCACTGGAGCTGCGTGGCCCCTCAGCGCTTCTCACACTGGGCGCACCATCATTTCCTGTCGTGTTTCATCAACGTAAATTGTTAGAGAGATGCTTGGATTTCATAGGAAGACGAAGATGTTTTAAAATGAGCTGTTTGCTCCTTTGCAAGTCTGCTCTTGATTCCAGCTTACTACTTTGAATAGTTTTGCATCTCCAGAAGCACAGGAGTAGTACGACGAGCAGCCTGCATGTGTTTCACAGTTAACATGTTACCATATTTGCTTTGTCACCCCCCACACACACACGTGCACACACAGTGTGTATTTATTTGCATTTGTGTACACATTTATCCCTAAATGCTTTACACATACCTCCAAGAATCGGGTCATTCTCCTTTGTGACTACAATACGCGTAACACATGCCAGAAATTGACCGCTGATAGAATACAGTCTTGCCCGTTGTGCCAGTGATGTCCTTTGCAGCCTTTCTGGTTTGTCTGACCGTTTCCAGACCCACTCAGGCTGGTGCCACTGGTGCATTTAGTCTCTCCCCATCGAGAGCAGCTCCTTCGTGGCCTTCTCTCCCTCGTGGCCACCTTTCATATTACTGTCTTTCTTGAGTAGTCCAGGCCAGTAGTTTTGCAGAATGTCCCTGAATTGGGACCTGATTGCTTCCTCGTGGTTAGGCTCATGTTAAACATTTTTGGCAGAACTACTACAGGGATGATGTGTCCTCAGAACATCTGGTCAGTCTGTCTCATTCTTGGTAACTTTGAGACTGGTTATTGAGTTAAAGTGAGACCTGCCCAGTTTCTCACTGCGACAGGCCCTTTTTCCTTGGGGTCATCTGCATGTGATTCTTTGTGATCCCCTAGGAACCCTTTCTCTAAAAACTTCTCACCGAGTGATTTAGGAACCAGCACTGAGGATCACCTGAGTGATGGTTCCAGCCCAAGCCGTTTCTGTCTCTGCCATTCCTTGGCACATTCCAGTTGGCATTCCTCTATTCAAAAGAGCTATCTCCCCTGTGGTTCTCCCCCCTTCTTTTAGTACCCTCTTATGCCTTGATTTATTTTCATTTTTTTTTTTAGAATCAGTAGGAATTCATGGAGTCTTTTGTTCTTTAATTCACATGTTACAATCCATTGCCAGTATTCAAGTTGACGCTCAGGTAGCCCCAGATTTAGCTGGCAAGGAGCCCCTTTTAGGCGGGTTTTTGTGTCGTGTGATGCGACCCCATGCGCTTTCGAGCTCTTCACCCCTGCCCTGATGCCATATTTGCCTCTCCCAGTCACCACCAGCCTCAGTGACGTAACACGCGCTCATCTGGTCAATCATACAGCACAAAAGAACTCTGGGATTGCAGCACCTGCTACCACTCTTCTCAACAATCTAAACAAGCTTCAGAATTTCCAAGCAGCTCTTTTTATCCTTAGACAGTCTCTTTAAGAGGCAGACCTTCAAAATATTTAGATTCCTTTTTTCTCTTTCAGTTATCAGGTTAACATACAGGTTTATTTTTTCTGTTTGTATTCAATTTTAGGGTTTTTCCCCAGGAAGCATTTAATATGATCAAAAGTCAGAGCTCTATGAAGAGGTTTGTTTGGAGGTCTTATGCCCCACACATCTCTGTAGTGAACACTGTCGTCATTTTTCAGTTTCTAATTAGCTTTTGAAAAGGCATCCATCTTCTAAACAGCCCAGAGGGAAAGGAAGGCATGTTTGGGAAATGTGCGATGGAGAGTAGGAATCAAATTTTGATAGCAAAAGAGAAATCTCTGAGAAGAGTCTACTCCTACACATTTGTGGTGTTTTTGTTTCTACTATTGCTTAAAAAAAAAAACGCAGTCCTGATCCAGTCTTAAGTTCTGTCCTCTGTACACACGGATGGTTTAGAATGGTAGCACGCCTTTACTTTATGTGTGTCTTTTCTCCCAGGAAACTGCCATTGTGTCTCCGGAAAGAGTCCTGGTGACCCAGCGAAACCAGCGCCATCTCCCAGAGAATGGGGTCCTTCGCATACTTCCTCCACAGACATGGCCTTAGTACCTAGAAATGACAGCCTCTCCCTACAAGAGATCAGTGGCAGCAGCTTCTCAAGCAGCCAGCCCTTTGAAGACGATGGCATTTGTGACGTGACCATCAGTGACCTGTACGCGGGGATGCTGCATTCCATGAGCCGGCTGTTGAGCACAAAGCCGTCGAGCATCATCTCCACTAAAACCTTCATCATGCAAAACTGGAACTCCAGGAAGAGGCACAGATGTAAGAGCAGGATGAACAAAACGTACTGCAAAGGAGGCAGGCGTTCTCAGAGGAGCCCCAAGGAGAGCTTCGTAACCTGCTCTGAGCCTGTGAAAGAGACAGGAGCATTAAGAGACTGCAAGAACTCACTAGATGTTTCTTGCCGTAAGACAGGTTTAAAATTGGAAAAAGCTTTTCTTGAAGTCAACAAGCCCCAAATCCGTAAGTTACATCTGAGTTGGAAGGAGCTGAAAGTGACACCCTCGAAGTATTCTTCCTTGACTTATTTTAGCTCCAGTGCAACGCACAATCTTGATAAGGAAAATAGATTTTGGAAATTAAAATGGTTAATTTCTCCCGTAAAAATAGTTTCCAAACCAAGAATACGACAGGGCCTTGGAGAGAACCATCAGAGGGAGATTGAAATCCGATTTGATCAGCTTCATCAGGAATATTGCCTGAGTCCCAGGAGCCAGCCTCGCCGGATGGGCCTCCTGGACTCCTGGGCCGTGAACTTGTACAGAGGGGGTCCTGTGAGCCCAGGTGGCCTTCAGGGCTTAGAAACCCGCAGGCTGAGTTTACCTTCCAGCAAAGCAAAAGCAAGAAGTTTAAGTGAGACTTTTGAAAACCTGGGCAAAAGTTGTCTGGAAGCAGGTAGGTACCTGCCCAAGAGCAAGTCCTCTTCGTCATTTCCAGAGACCAACATCCCAGCTCGCACGCAGCAGACGTCTGATCTTCATGTTCAAGGAAACCATTCTGGAATAGTTAGAAAGTCATTGTCGCCCAGCAAAACTCTTTCAGTCCCAGATAAAGAAGTGCGAGTCCGTGGAAGGAATCGTTACGATGAAATAAAGGAAGAATTTGACAAGCTTCATCAGCAGTATTGTCCCAAATCCCCTGGGCAGATGAAGGTGCCTTTATGTGTTGGAGTCTCTCCAGATGAAGCGAGTGCGGAAGTTGGGTATCGAGCAGACGGCTTTTCAGAAAAATTAAATCCAGACCCTCGCTTCCAGGGTTTCTGGAAGTTGCCGTCATCACCCCTGGGGTGCAGAAAAAGTCCACTGGGCTCAACTGCAACTGAGGCTCATTCATCTACGTGTGTTGCTTGTGCCACCAGGAGGGACCATCAGTTCCCTGCGAAAAGACCCAGGTTATCAGACCCTCAGGGCTCCGGATACCAGGCCGATGCCCGGGGTGCCTCAGGTGGGGTGGGCAACGCTGTCAGACCAGGAGAGCAGGGCAGCTCTTCACAGCCCAACTCAGAAGAGAGGAAGGTGCGTTTCTGTTGGTTGAATGTGGTGTCCCACGTGAGTGACCACTCTTTCAATAGACGCTTTTTATTTTATGGGAGGATCCTTTGTGCCACTTTTAGTAAATCTCAACCGAATTCTTACCTAAGTGTTCGTTTTCCAAGCATTCTAAACACTTTTCCTTCCTGTAAAATCAGTGTCTATATCAAGGATGTTTTCCTGTGTTAGGTGCATCGAGGTGGAGCACCTTCCCATTTCACACACTTCCCATTCGCGTGCATTCAGAGGTTTTTCCACAAATCCTCACGTACTACATGTGATTCATCTTTGTCAAACCTTCCTTTCTAACCTCGTCATCTGACACACTCAGAAAATAGCTGTTGTAAGGTGAAACTGATCTAAAGTGACTGACTTCCTGTCTACTTCTGGACTCCTGGTAGGGACAGAGCAAGAGTGGCCTGGGAGAGCCACAAGCAGTTTTCTCACAGGTGGGAGGGGCGCCCTGCAGTTCATCTCAGTGCTCCCTGTTCAGATTTCTGCACCTCGTTTTGCAGCTTAATTTGTGCGAATCATGTCGGCTAGAGTTGTGGTCTAGGTGTGCCGTTTGATTTTCGGGGCAGGGAGGTGTTAGTGGGGGCCGTCAGTGTGGGCAGGTACCTTCGTTGCATGAAGGGCTGGACTCCCCAGCACAGCTGCTCTGTTTGCACAGCCAGGATCTGGGGGATGTGACTCTTAACTCAGTGCCACACCTCACCCCAGGCTGACGGGACTTGACTGTGGGTTCGACTTGGCCAGTTTCTTTCGGTTTTGTCTGTTTGTGGTTCCAGCAGGTGAGGCGGTGTCTCCAGTATCCTCCTCCCGTTGTACCTGACGCTGGTGATGTGCCTTTTCTCTGAGATCATTTGGGTGGACGCTGCCTGCCATAAATGTCCCATTTTCTGTTTCTCCCCCCGGGGGCTCACCTGGCCTGCGAACTGCCCATCCAGCTCAGAACCAAGGTCTGGTATGCCTTGTTCCTTCAGTGGCGCCTGCCGTCGAAGCCTGCTCATGACAGACCACACTCTCAGACCACCAGCGGCCTCCTGTGGCCTAAGCTGTCTGCTGCCTTTCTCACTGTCACTGTCTTCCCAATGCCCTGGGACTGCTCCAGGGTCTGCCATAGGACAACCCTTCCCTTTCCTTCCAAGGGAGCTTTTGCCGGCATTCTCTCCCCTTTCCAGCTCTTTGCTATTGCATCCCCAGACTCCACCCACTGCTCAGCTGCCTGCTCTCTCCAGGTGACCCACACCCTCCCAGGGGGTGCAGACAGTGGGTGCTGTGGTGGGGTGCTGTCTGGACATGGGCCATTCTTGTAGGTTAGCAGCACAAGGTAGAAACCTTTTGGCTCCGGCTCCTTGGCTTAGTTCTAGAAGCTCCCAGCTTTGGTTAAGTCATTTCCCTGTATAAAGTCATACTGGCTGAGCTAACCAGAAGCAGATGAAACAAGGCTCGTTGTCATTTGTCTTCCCAGTTGAGGACGGATGAATGTAAGTGTTCGGGTATTGGGAAAGGTTTCTCTCTGCCGGGCCCCAGCTAGGGTCAGGGGCACTGTGTGGGCAGGACCCCCGGAGCTCCTTCCCTGTCAGTGCATGGCTGACAGCAGAGTCTCTCCCTCAGGTCTTGGTCTGCAACTGCTTGCCTGATGCCCCGCTCCTGTGCCCACTTGGCATTTTCACACCAAACCACAGGCCAGGTACTTTCAGCCACAGGTAGTAAAGCCGTTGAGAATCTCAGCCGCATCTTCATGGCACGGAGGCTGCTTTGAGAGCGAAGCTTATGCGTTCTGTTTAACAGATGACCTCTCAGGATTCTCAGTTGAAAGGGGAGCATTACACCAAAAACAACTCCTGGCCAAGTGAGCGATCTGAGGTTTCTCCAGGCCTCCCACACATCAGAGCTCCTGTGCTCTGCTCGCCCTGCTTGTCTAAACCTAACTACGTTTTCTCAGAGAGTGCCCCAGCTCTTCTTTTACCGTCGTCCTGCCCCTGAGATTCCGTCTTGTGCCTTTCACCGAGTTCCATAACCTGCTGGCACCATACCAGTCGCCTGAGGTCCACTTTCCATGTATGATGTCCTGCCCCAGTGCTCCGTGCAGAGGCTCCTGTCTTGCTCTTTCATCTGCTCAGCCTAAAGGGCTTTCTTCCAGTCCAGCCACACAGGAGGGGCCTCAGCCTTGCAGAGAATGGTATGAGGTTGTATTGCTATGGGGCTGGAGAGGGACCGTCCTGAGGACTCAGCCCCTGAGGACCCCAGCAGGGCCCTCCTCCCAGCATCCCTGGAATTTGATAGCAAGTCCAATCGTGAACACCTCAGGTTTCATTTTAAACCACAATTTAAACATATTTAACTGGTTTCCTATGTTTTTCTGCTTTTCCTGCTTAAATGATAAATTTCTTAAGGAAAAAGACCAACTCTTCATGAGCTGCAACTGCAGAAGGAGTTTTTATGCCTAACATCTGAGGCTGTCTGTGTGCCAGGCCACGTTGAACAGTTTTACGCCTTTTCTTCTTTAATCCCCACCAGAACCCCTTGATTAAGTAGATTCTGTCCAGTAGGCAGCCTCTCCCTCTTTTTAATAGATAAGAAGTAGCTTGAGTCTTGAACTCCTGAATTCACCTGTGCAGCAGTGCTACCTGGGCCAGGGTGTGAGATGTGGACTTCTCCACCAGCTTGTGCTGTCTTGGGGCAGTATGTGGGATGGGGTGGGGGGATCGCCTTTACATTTTTGTTGTTTCTCTAACATAACTTATTTACTTAATGTAATGCCGTTTTCTGTAAGTATTTTTATATATACAGTGGAATAAGTAGAAAACAGTTAACCTTTCAGTGGCTAGCGTTGGGAATTCTAGTAGAATTTTGCTAACGTCATTTTCTTTGTCTTTTTTTTCCCTAGAGGAAAGAACACGTCTTAGAGGATGGAAAAGAAAAGTGGCATTGCGCTAGAAAACTTCCAAGCTAAAAGTCTGTAGCTGGGTATCGTGGAGTGTTACTTCTCTTCTCCCTTGCTCTCTGCTTCTATTTTTGTTCTGTTTTTAATTCTTGAGACACTGTGAGGAGTTGGTTGACTTCTCTGCCCTTAAAGCAATTGTTAGTGAAACTGGCTCCATCAGAGATGAGCCTCCAGTTCTTGCTGTAGAAATTATGTGAATAAAGTTGCTCACTTAGAATTTTTAGGGGACCCTTCGATAGGCCTCTTTTCTCATGTGTTCTTTTTTAAATTAGACGTGTCCAGAGAATCCTCCCTTCTGTTTCCCATTTCATTAGGGAATATGGTTTGCTTGTGAAACCTGAGTTTGAGCCCTGCATGCAATGACCCTTGAAGAAAAATCAACAGTCGTGGTGGCCCTAGACACTCCAGCAGCCACAGCGCCATGGCTCCTCGTGATTCTTACTGGAGCCGTTGCTGACAGGATATCATGGTGGCGTTTTTGTAATGAAATAGTACACATATTCAGAATACACTGGTGAAACTCATGCTGGAATAGTTAATCCATTGCCATGTGTGTTTTGGGTTGCTTTTTAATGAAAGGTTTAAAATGAGATTGAATTACACATTTTTCATTCTTGCCTGCCTCCCCAGGCAATGGCTCTCTTGCTGTTGGCAGGTATCACCCCCCACCCCCACCCCGCCCCATATCCCATCTCCCTACGTCTTACGTTGGGACCATGTTACCTGTATGTGTGTGTGTGCGTTCAGGCTGCCGTAGCAAAATGCTGAAGACCAGGTGGCTTAAACAGTAGAAATTTATTTTCTCACAGTTTTGAAAGACTCAAAGTTCGAGACAAGGGAGCCAGCATTGTTGGGCTCCAGCAAGGACTCTAACTGGCTGGCAGAAAGCTGTCTTGTTGCTCTGTCCCCACAAGCTGGAGAGAGCAAGGTGTCTGGTGTCTTAGGAGGGCACTAATCCCATCATAAGAGCCCCTCACTCATGACCTTATGCATAAATTACCCAGTCGTGGGTATTCTGTTTTAGCAACGCTAAACCTGCTAAGGCAGATAACTTCCTCCTTTTTCCGGCTTCTGCTGTTACAAGAAAAACTGCCATACTCTCAGGATCAAAAATACTGTGCTGTCTTAAATTTTGCTCTCTCCAGTTAGGTCTGTAAACCATCTGGAAGAGTCCCTGCACACACATGAAGGGAGAGCCAGTTGTTCAGATGTACAGCTGCCTCCTTGGACTGTGTTGAGTGGCGAGCCCTCCCCACTGCAGCAGTGATGTTCAAGCTTGTTTAGCCACAGTGCTCTTCATCACTTGGCAGGAAATCACTTCACATTTGCTCCATGGGAGGCACAAAACGGTTTGAAGACCGCTGGAATGGGTGGGTTCTGGGGCAGCATAGCGGCTCTCTCCTGTTGATGGCACCCCTGACGGTAAATTCCTTCGGCAGTTATACTGGGAACGGTTTGGAAGTCCTGGTTTACCTGCTCTGGGGACACCTAGCCTATTCTGATGGCCCGAGCATAGGAAAAGCCTTCCCCACACGCCCTCTCTTCCTCTACATGTTCTTAGACATGGGGCTAACGTCCCCTTTTTGATCAGGAGCCAGATTATGTTCCAGGCTTCACTGGGCTCCGGTTCCAACAGTCCAAACTTGGTAACTTTAAGCCTCAAAGGGAAGGATGAGGGTGGACCTAGAATACATGTCAGTTCCTCCATGCAGCCTCCCTGGATTGCCTCCACACTTGATGCACCCCCACCCTCCGGTGCCACTGCAGCACTTCTACCCCGGCTGCAGTCCTCCCTCTGATGTGTGTTGTGGTCAGGTGTCTTTCCCTTTAAGAAGGGTCCCTGGAGGCAGACTGGACATGCTAGGCCTCCCCCCGCTGCTCAGCACAGTGCCTGGCACACTGTCAGCCTGTGAACTGGGGGTGAACTACGAGTGAAGACACAAAGCTCGTTTCCAACCCTTTGAGCCAAGGGTCAGTCAGACACGTACTGGTGGGGGCGGGGGTGAATCGGAAATGAAGTGGCTCGTTAAGGCTGAAGTTCCCTTTGCCTGGTCCTGGTTCTGGACTATCCCCACCTTACAGTCAAGCCTGCACTCCGATGGCAGTGGAGGTTTATTTCAATGGAAGAAAGAAAAGGAGAGTAATTAGTTCACAATGTTTTTCCTACAAACTAAACTTCTTACAAACGACATTGATAAGGGCTTGCATTTGGCCCTAAGAAGACAGTTTACATCTTATGTTTGGACCACCCAGGACATTCCTTTGGGTGAAGCCAGAAGCCTGTGCTGACTACAGCTATCCGGGACTTTGAGCGTCTCCAGGGCTGCCCGCCTGACCTCAGGATCCGGGTCCAGCTGTAGTTCCTGGAGGGCTGAGAGGGAACACAAAGAGGGAAGGCTTAGGCCCCTCCCAGTCAGGACCACGTGGGCAGCGATTGCAGGTGAGGGCACAGGTGGGCAGGGGCAGACGGAGAAGCTCCTACGTGGGAAACCAGAAGACTGCAGGTGGAGCTCTTTGCACACACATCGCAGCTCTCAGGGCTTCGGTGGCCACCCTCACAGGGACAGAAATCGCCCACAGAACCTGATAGCAACATCAGGGCAGAAGCATTTCATAAGACGCTATGAATGGGAAAAACAGCCCGGGGATGAATAGCTGTTCTGGAAAGGCCTCCCAGCTGCATTTCTCTCTTCCTGGTTACACTCCCACCCCCAAAAACCCCACAGCAAAGGGTCCTCTGGCTCTTCCCTTGAACCTGTTTCTCTAAGCTCCCCTAGTGAGTTGGTGAGTCATGGACTCGAGATATAACACTCCGCTACTTACAATTCTGCAATGCTGGGATGTCCAGCTTTTTCAGATGATGTGTAGACATCTGCTTCATAATAATTCCTGAAACGATAGCCAAAGAAATGCTCATCACACAAATATGAGGTCAGCAGACAAGTCGTTCTGTGGCCCTCCCTGTAAGATACTTGGTTTATTTTATGAGAACACTGATGAAGGATTTTGTTGAGCCCAGATTGGCAAGAAGGAAGCCGAAATCAAAGCAGGATAGAAGGCACAGTGCAGGACTTAGACCTGAGCTCCGGCCCCTGCTCTGCCACATGCCTCCCTTCCATGACCCATCCTCCCCCGAGTCCCAGGGTGGACCAGATGGCTTTCAAAGTCCATCTTGAGCCAGGAAGATACCCGTCTGCTCACCTGCCAAGTTGCAAGCTGCGATTCTGATCCTTGACAAGCTATTTTTAACAGAGACCATCGTTTCTAGAAAGAAGCTGTAAAGAACAGCTGGCTTTTTCTGAGACTGCAAAAAGCAAGTGACACACACAGCTTTGGAGGATGAGACCCTGACAATGGGCTGTCATTCACCAAGAGTGTCCCATCACCAAGAGGTATTAGAGAGGGCAAGTGACCATTCCAACATCACACAGCAGATGAGTAGCTGGCCAGTGAAGGACCATCGGCCCCTGTCGCATTTACATATCACGTCTGACCCGAGAACCTGTGATGTCCAGCACGGTAGCCACAAGCCACATGTAACCCTGGAGCACTTCCAGTGTGGCTGGTCTGAATTAAGTGTAAAGTGCCCCTGGGTTTTAAGATGGTACCCCCAAAGTTGTGAAATATCACAGTAATAGTTTTTTATATTGATTACATGGGGAAATGGTCATGTTTTAGTTTTCTGGGTGAAATGAAATACATAAAATTTGTTTCGCCTCTGCTCTTTTCTGGATGTGCCTACTAAAAGAAACTCAGGCAGCTGAAATAGGCACGTGGCTTGCATTCTACCTTTGCTGCAGTGCTGGCCTCGACATTGCACGTGTAGAAGGTAAAGGTAGGGCCCCGAGAAAGCAAGCTGTGGCAACTCAACCACCCCAACTCCAAGCCCATGTGTGGCCACCTGGGACGGACTGGTTCCTCTTTGGCTTTCTCACCAGGATGGAACACATGGTTGTCTGGAAAACAGTCATCTTGTCATCGGTAGTGGTATCACATGGCCGTGAGGGACACTGCAGGGACTTCCAGCCCCAGAAGTGTACACACTGAAACATGGTAGCCATACAGGCCTGCAGGGACACAGGACGACAGAAGAGACATCAGCCAGGCCAGAGTGGTTTCCAGGAGGGGTGAGGCCAGCAGGAAGTCAGAGGGCAGCCCTGGAAAATCCTCACCAAGCCAAAGAAGGGCAGGGCTGGTGGCTCCTGGGAGGCCACCTGGGACCTGAGCCCCTCCAGCTTGAACATGACTGCATGTGCATTTATAAAAGGCCACTTGGGGGCAGATGCAGCCCCACCTGTCACCTCAGCCAGCACCTTCATGCCCTCAGCATCCCCGCCTGCGACCCAGCCCTCAATGGGATCAGAGGTGGGAGCCTGGCTTGAGCAGGCAGGACGGGGCACATGTCCTTACCTCCCAGGCCCAGTCCACCAGCTCCTGCCTTGTAGCCAAGCCTGCGGGCTCCAGCTCTGGAGACATCAGGGCAGGAAGACAAAATGCTCCCGCCTCAGTAGCCCTTCCCTCACTCTTGGTCACCCTTGCTGGGTGTACCCCAGTTCCTTCCCTGAAGCTCCCCCAACCCCACTGGACAGCTGTCGATAAAACATGGAATAACAGTGTGGGCTGAAGACAGAGGGTGGTGAGGACCGGCAAGGAAAAGGAGCCTCTGAGCGGTGACACTGTGCCCAGGGTTGCCAGGGACCCTTTGGCAGAGCCGGGAAGCTGGGCTGGTGTGTGCAAAGCCCAGGTCTAGAGAGCATGCCTCTCAATACCCCTCACTGCCTGTAACAGCCACCTGGAAACAGCAGCCCCCACAGTGATGGGTTGAGGGAACTTGTCCTGTGACCCAGAGCTGGAGTCTAAGGCACCTGCTGAAAAGGGCCATTGGGTTTCTTTCGTGTGGGGCCAGCTGCATCCCAAGGCTTGGGCAAGGGCAGAACCTCCCCAAATCAGCCACCTCCCCACCTCCCGACCCCACCCTCCGAGTCTGTAGAAGAGACTAGGGAGAGAAGAGGGCGGTCAAGCTCATGGGCTGTGCAGGGAGTGAGGAACCCGCCATCAGTGACTGCTGCTGTCCCCAGCCAGCCAGGGTTAGTCTGAGAGGCACCAGCTCAATAAGAAGACTCATTTGCTAACAAATCCATCTCTCCCTCTCCCTCCTCCTGCCCCAAAGCAAAAGAGGAGCTGGGCCTCGGAGATGAAGAAGCCAGGCCCGCCCCCAACACATACTCTTAGCTGCCCCCAACGTGGGCCTGCCCCACAGGATCAGGGAGTGGACAGGACCGCTTTGGGGTATTTTAAGTTCTAATACCCAAAAGTGACCTGCCAGTTACAGAATCTGCTAGAAGAAAGGGTTTGGGCAGAGAAGGGCTACAGGCAGCCACCACCCCGTGTCCCCTGACATGGGCTGAGACTGCCTAGTGATAGTCTCTAGTGGCTGTGCAGGTCATCTCAGATGGCCTCTCTTCTCAGCCTGTGTGAGGGACGAAGGGTAGTGGGGATCTCCAGGATCTCCGAGAAAACCAACTGAGGCAGAGAAAGCCTACAGCTTACTGAGCCAGCAGACCCAAGGATCTGTTTCCTTGAGGGACAGTGGACCCCAGACTAGGACAAAAAGCCCAGGGCATGTCTTACTTGGGGTGAGTCGGAGCAGGGGTCCTGGGAGTGCAGCATGAGGGGGATCCAGGCCTTCTTCACCTTCCCTTTGAAGAAATGCTTCTTGGACATCCCGACCACCCTTGCCAGCTTCCCAAAGAGTACGAAGGCTTTCAGACGCAGCAGCTTGCTCTCCTGTGGCCGGGATGGACACGGGCTGACCTGTGGGCAGCAGGAAGCCCGTTGAAACCCCAGCTGTTCCCTGAGGAAAACCCAGTGCCTTGGCCCCTGCAGAGCCTTCTGGATCATTCCGTCAGGGTGGAGTCTCTCCTTCCGCAGGAATCACGTAGCCCTCGGGGCTGGGCATTGCTCTGGTCTTTGTGCCCACCTCTTCCCTGGGTGAGGGCTTGTGCAGGATCCAAGTGCACAGCCCTGCCTGGGAGAGGCCCAGCGTGACGCAGGTGCCCTGGGGGTATTCGTAGGTGCAAGGAATAAAAGGGGAACACCCTTCCCCCTTAGCAGGGCTGCAGGGACCCAGGAGCCCTCACTCGACAGCACTGATTCTCTGGAACTTAGAAGAAAACCTTTCATTTCACAAGATCCCATGATCAGCCAGTCGCTACACTGGTGCCCAGCAGGATCCTTGGCTCTTTCCGCTCTAGAGCCCACCTCTTCCTTGGGGTCTGAGAAATGCCCACTCCTTCACCAAGCGAGTTCAGGGAGGCTCTCATCCGGACTCACGTTGTCAAAGAAGATCCTGCACTGCTCAGAGATGGCATCAAAAAAGGACCCCACATCCCGTTCTCGGAGCTCTGCCAGGATCTTGGTCAGGGCGTTTATAGCCTCAGCAGTCACACTGGTGCTCGTGGGCTCCCTTGGGGGACTAGGCACTTCTCCAGCAATACCTTCCGGAACTGCTTCACCTGGAGGGGCATGGGCAACCCTCACCCTGCACCCTCACTCCAAGGCTGACTGAAGCCCCCAGCCTGCACTGTCAGCTCCGGGGACCTGGGCCCAGGGACAGGTGCACACAGTACCTTCATGGGGGCGCCCAGGGCCATGTTGCCAAGGGCACGCAGGACAGCACCCGCAGGGCCTCATCCTCCTTCTGGTCGGCCCCCTTCTCCAGCAGCACCACCGCCGGCTTCAGCAGCTTCTCCTGGTACAGAACCAGGTCGCTCATGAACTGGAAGGGAGGAGATGTGGCAGTTATCCCCGGGGCAGGCTCTTTGTCAGCAGCAATGATGCAGCGGGACACGGGAGGAGAGGTCATGCAGATTGGTGGCTCTGTGAGCAGGAGAGGCCCTGAGAACCTCTGCTTCCTTGTCTATAAAAAGGGGATGATGCTAGTAACTGCCTCAGAGTCTTTGTGGGGACTTAACAAGGAAATATGTGAGGAATTCTAGATAAGTGGCACCTATATGTATATATTCATTCATTATGTTTCAGATAGCATAATAGCCACTGTCAAATGCAAGAGCCACACCCACCTACATCTGAACAGAAATGCACAAAAGGCATGAATTTCACTCACTCAGGAGAGTTACTATCAGCCTAGTACTCCAAGTGCCAAAACCTCAGGCCTTTGAGAACTCCCTGATATGCGTGTGTGTGCATGTGTGTGTGCATGTGTATGTACATGCATGTGCACGTGTGTGCATGTAAGAACCTGAGTATGTTTGAAAGAGGCCTGAAAAGAAAACTGAACACCAAATTGGTGAGTCCAGGGACAGGAGAAGTGAGAGTCTACTGACTGTTCCTACATCCAGCTCCTTATCCCCCATCAGGCGCAGCTGCTCTAAGCTCCCAAATGTTTTGTCTCCACCTCAGTCCACCTCCAGCCACCCCAGACACCAACACCGGCAATCACAGGCGCTTCCTACAGCACTTGGGTTTATTTAAACATTTACTAAGCACCTATTCAGGGCCAGGCAGAGCAGTGAATACAACTATCACCACCTACTTTAAACGCTCTTCAGGGTAAACTCCTGGAGAGTAAACCCCCTACACGATTGTTACCAAGCATTAAAAAATCATGTAGAATCCAGCCCCACTGAATTTGAAGAATTTGAATAGCTTGTTTCTTAAAAGCTGAACCTAATTTTTTTCTTTTAAAAAATGTTTAATTTTAGTTCCGGGGTACACGTGCAGGAAGTGCAGGTTACATAGGTAGACATGTGTCACAGTGGTTTGCTACACCTATCAACCCATAACGGAGGTATTAAGCCCAGCACGCATTAGCTATTTTCCCTAATGCTCTCCCTTTCCCCACAGGCCGCCACCCGCAACAGGCCCCAGTGTGTGTTGGTTCCTCCCTGTGTCCACATGATCTCGTTGTTCAGCTCCCACTTATAAGTGAGAACATGCGGTGTTTGATTTTTCTGTTCCTGCATTACTTTGCTGAGGATAATGACTTCCAGCTTCATCCATGTCCCTGCAAAGGACATGATCTCATTCCTTTTCATGACTGCATAGTATTCCATGGTGTGTATGCACCATGTTTTCTTTATCCAGTGGATCATTGATGGGCATTTGGGATGATTTCATGTCATTGTCACTGTGAAAAGTGCTGCAATGAACATATGCGTGCACATATCTTTGTAATAGAATGATTGATATTCCTTTGGGTATATGCCTAGTAATGGGATTGCTGGGTCAAATGGTATTTCTGGTTCTAGATCCTTGAGGAATCACCACACTGTCTTCCACAACGGCTGAACTAATTTACACTCCCACCAGCGGTGTAAAAGCGTTCCTATTTCTCTGCAACCTTGCCAGCATCTATTGTTTCCTACTTTTTAATAATGGCCATTCTGACTGGCATGATATGGTATCTCATGGTGGTTTTGATTTGCATTTCTCTAATGATCAGTGATGTTTAGCTTTTTTACATATGTTTTTTGGCCGCATAATGTCTTCTTTTGAGAAGTGTCGGTTCAGGTCCTTTGCCTTCTTTTTAATGGGGTTTTGTTGTTTTGTTCTTGTTGTTGTAAATTTGTTTGAGTTCCTTGTAGATTCTGGATATTAGACCTTTGTTGAATGGATAAATTGCGAAGATTTTCTCCCACTCTGTAGGTTGCCTGTTCACTCCGATGATAGTTTCTTTTGCTGTGCAGAAGCTCTTTAGTTTAATTAGACCCCAACCGTCAATTTTTGCTTTTGTTGCAATTGCTTTTGGTGATTTCATCATGAAATCTTTGTCCATGCCCATGTCCTGAATGTTACTGCCTAGATTTTGTCCTAAGGTTTTTATAGTTTTGGGTTTTACATTTAAGTCTTTAATCCATCTTGAGTTAATTTTTCTGTATAAGGTGTGAGGAAGGGGCCTGCATTCAATTTTCTGCAAATGGATAGCCAGTTCTCCCAGCACCATTTATTAAATAGGACTCCTTTCTCCATTGCTTGTTTTTGTCAGGTTTGTTGAAGATCAGATGATTATAGATGAGCAATTTTATTTCTGAGTTCTCCGTCTGTTCCATTGGTCTATGTGTCTGTTATTGTACCAGTACTATGCTGTTTTGGTTACTGTAGCCTTACAGGATAGTTTGAAGTCCAGTAGGGTGTTGCCTCCAGCTTTGTTCTTTTTGCTTAGGATTGTCTTTGCTATATAGACTGAATTCTACAAGAAATACAAAGAGGAGCTTATACCATTTCTCCTGAAACTATTCCAAAGCATTGAAAAGGAAGGACACCTCCCTAACTCATTCTATGAGGCCAGCATCATCCTGATACCAAAACCAGGCAGAGATACAAAAAAAAGAAAAAAGAAAAAAAAACTTCAAACCAATATCCCTGATGAACATTGATACAAAAATTCTCAATAAAATACTGGCAAACTGAATCCAGCACCACATCAAAAAGCTTGTCCACCACGATCAAGTAGGCTTCATTCCCAGGATGCAAGGCTAGTTCAACACATGTAAATCTAAACATAATTCATCAGATAAACAGAACTAAAGATATGACCACACGATTATCTCAATAGATACAGAAAAGGCCTTCAATAAAATACAACATCCCTTCATGTTAAAGACACCCAACAAACTAGATATTGAAGGAACGTACTTCAAAATAATAAGAATCACTTATGACAAACCCACAGCTAACATCATACTGAATGGGTAAAAGCTGGAAGCATTCTCCTTGAAAACCAGCACAAGACAAGGATGCCTTCTCTCACCACTCCTATTCAATATAGTATTGGAAAAGCAAGAGAAAGACATAAAGGGCATTCGAATAGGAAAGGAGGAAGTGAAAATGTCTTTGTTTGCAGATGACATGATCCTATATCTAGAAAACCCCATTGTCTCAGCCCAAAAACTTCTTAAGCAGATAAACAACTTCAACAAAATCTCAGGATACATAATCAATCCGCAGAAGTCACAAGCACTCCTATGCACTAACAACCGGCAAGCAGAGAGCCAAATCAGGAATGAACTCCCATTCACATATGCTACAAAGAGGATAAAATACCTAGGAATACAGCTAACAAGGGAACTGAGGGGCCTCTTCAAGGAGAACTACAAACCTCTGCTCAAAGAAACTAGAGGCCACAAAGAAATGGAAAAAGATCCCACGCTCATGGATAGGAGGAATCAAGATCATGAAAATGACCAGACTACCCAAAGTAATTTACAGATTCAATGCTATTCCTATTAAACTACCATTGACATTCTTCACAGAATTAGAACAAAACTATTTTAAAATTCATATGGAACAAAAAAGCTGAATCTAATTTTTAAACAGCCATAATTAGCAGGCATTTAATGAGCGCTTACCTCCCAAGCAAGCAATGTGTACACAGTCTTATCACATTTAACTCTCACCTAAGGCCTGAAAAGAAGGCACTGCTTTCCGCAGTTTGGCAGGTGAGGAGGCTGAAGCTCAGAGACACTAAGTAACTTCGTCTCCAGCCAATCAGCAGCTGAGCGGAAGCTCTTCACCAGACCCTTGGATTCCAGCACCTGGGCCTGGCCCTGTGTGGCTTCCAGCCACTGAAAATTCTAAACCCAGACACATCAAAGGCCAGGTCCTGGGTGAGACAACAAGGGAGTGCTTCTCCTCTCACCTTCATTTTGAAGATTTACAGAGGCCTGAAGAACCTATAAAAGCTTAGCGAGTATCTCCCAGTTGGTCCTGTACTTCCAGGAGTTTTTCTACAGCCCACTGCCAAAACTCATTTTCCCATTTTTAAATGTTGGGGAAAAGAAATCTAGAGAAGAACATTTCATGGCACATGAAAATTCCACGAAGTTTAAATTCCAATGTCCATCAATAAGGTTTTGTTGACATTGTCATGCCCACTGGTTAATGCAGTGGCTGTGGCTGCTTTCCTGCTACAGTGGAGTTGGCCACAAAGCCAAAAATACTAATTTACTTCACAGCCCTTTACAGAAAATGCTGGCAGCCCCTGGCCTGGGCTGTGGTTGGTTCCTAGGGTGCACTGGGCATCATTGCCCTTAGGACACTCCAACACTTGCCCTGAAATACGGTTGCTGGGCCCTGCCATCTGCCTGGCAGCGCCCCTTGGCCTCTCTGAGACCTCCTATAGGAAACCTGTCCCAGCAAGAGCCCAGGTGCCCTCTCTGGGCCCGTTGGGTGGCTGTGCTTGTTAGGTCACACATCAGTTAGCTGCCATGCTGCAGGGCTCAGGCGGTATCTCAGCCTATTTCCCGAAGGGCCCGCGCTGCACTACTCATATGATGGATGAATAAAGGAGCAGATGAGAGAATGAACCCTCAGAGGAGGGGCGCTCGCCTGTCCCCCTGACTCCCATGCCTTGGAGATGAGCCATCCCCAGAAGAATCCAGGGACCCCATCCCTTCCACTCACACCACGCCCGCACCCAGTGCCTCACTTCCACGCAGGCCGCCGTGCTGCTGATGTGGCAGTTCAGGACTTCTGAGTCCATGCCCCTGAGCACCAGCTCCGCCAGCCTCTGCCTGTGGCCCTCCACATGCTGCATGCACAACCTGCAGAGGAGAGACAGTGCCAGGCTGCAGAGGCAGCCCCACCCTGCCTGACATTTGCCAAGAGCTGGGCCAGACCGTGCCGGTGCCTGGTGCCTGCTGGCAGGATCACACTGGACAAGATGTCCTAACATCTCTGGGCTTCCCCCTCCTCTTGGTTGAGGTTGTCAGTGAATCACTCAATGTCTCTATCTCCTTTTTACAAAGAGTGAGGGTGGCTCCTGAGTGACTAGGACCCTGGAAGTAACTCCCATCTCTGGCCTGCTCCAGACCCTGTGCTGCCTTGGGGACAAGCCCTCCTCTCTCTGGTCTCATATCTGCTCTGAGCAGAAAGGGTTTGAATAAAAGGTTCTCATTGCCTGGCATACCACTGCCATCCTAGACTCACAGGTTGACATGCCAATTCCCCAAGAAAGAAGGCATCCAGCCAGGAATGGACCATGTCCTCGCAAGGAGCCCTTCCATCCAGCAAGGGGGTTCCTCTGCAGGTCCCCCTGCCACCCCATGGGAGCCAGGGCCTACCTGGCCAGCAGGCTCAAGCCCTCCAGGAACGTCCTTCTGCCCTGCAGGAGGTCCCACACCGCCTGCTCATCCAGGTCACATGCCAGGTGCTGGCTCTTGATTCTCTTGAACAAGAGCTGCATGGACTTGATGGTGACCCTGGAGGGAGGTGGGGGCTTGTGATGTGCTGCCCTTCTGGGAGCGCATGGCCTGAGGAGGCTGCTGCAATCTGTGAAGTGGGGCCCCAGTGCCCATGGGGCCCAGCCCAAGGGGCTGAGGGGAAGGTCCAGGGAGAGAGTGGATCTGCAAACTCTGAAAACCACACCGTGCTAGACACTCATGAGAAAGGCATCCTGAGTAAGATCAGCTCCCACCAGGAGGAGACAAAGAGAGCCCTTCAGTGCAGTCCAGTGGCAACTAAGGGACAGCCCGTGGCTACACCCAGCCCAGGCCTGCCGCCTTGTACCCACCACCCTGGAGAGCACCTTTGCAGGTTCATCTCCTCGGGCAGAGGTGTGGTGTAGACCAGCCTCCAGGTCTTCAGGACTGGCGAGGCGGCCTCTGGTTGGTGGCTGCTGCCAAGCTGCAGCAGGAGGGTGTAGATGAGGTCAGGGAGGAAGTCCGGGAGGCTGTCGTTCTCATCCAGCTTCTCCATGAGAAGGTGGATGGTGCACAGGGTCTGCAGAGAGAACGTCCAGGGCATCGGGCTCCTACCCAGAGACACTCGAGGAGCCTTGGGGCCTGCGCCTGCAACTCACCATCAGAGGGTCCACTGCAGTCAAGCGCCAGATGTCAGCCTTCAAGGTGGCACTGACCCTGGGGCTGAGCCATGACTGCAGCAGGCCCATCAGGCTGTGGAGCATGGTCCGGGTGAAGGGCACGTTCTCCGACGTGGCCAGCCACACCTCTGCCAGGTGGCTAACCAAAGTCAGGGCATAAGGACTGTGAGTTTTTTAGCATGTGCCCTGGCAGGTAAAAATCCCTTTCAACCCCTCAGCAGCCCCCTAAGTAGAGGTTGGACTCTGGGGGTGGAAACTCAGGGAGGTGGAGGCAGCCATCAAAGTTTGTGTACTTAGAACCCAGGACGCTGACGCTACACTCAGCCCCTTTCTCTGCATGGGCTCACGGTACCGTTGGGAAAGCCACGGGCCCCACGGAAGCCCCGGCTCCACTGCAAGGTGACCACAGAGGCCCCACCTGTTTGACAACTTTACAGACATCTCCCACACTACCTCCTAGTGCCCAACTTGCATCAGGATGGTTGTCAGCAGCTTTCTGATAGTCTATCACCTCATCTGCCTAACACATCTTTGAGGAAGGTATTTTTATCTCCATATTCCACAGAAGAGGGAAGTGAGGCTTGCGGCAGTCAGGCCACCTGCCAAACTACAGTTGGAAAAGGGCCTTCCTAGTTTCCAAGTCCAAGCCCATGACTCTGCTGAGAAGGGAGGTCCCGCAGGATAGGTGCAGAGGCACAGAGAGCGGGGCCTCTGGGAGGTTCCAAAAGGCTAATGTGAGTCTTACAAGTCTAAGTATCATTTAGCAAGGGTAAGCTGAACAAAGACATGTCAACTGACCATCTGAACCCACAAAACCAAATGCACGAGAGAAGGTTGGTGAGTTTGGGTCTGTGGGGAGATGTGGCTGGAGGCCCAGGGGCAGGAATAAATCAGGGGGCACAGTGCACTCATCAGCACCTACTGCAAAGAAGCCATGGGGTGCAAGGAAACACGAAGGGGCACCTCAGTCCTACGATGGCAAGAGACGATGCTAAGTAAGAGGCGACAGACTATCAGAAAGCCGCCAACAACCAACCTGATGCACAATCCTGACACCAGTAATGATACGATCCTGGAAGACGACCCCAGGCTCCGGAACGCACCCGCCAACACCCTCATCACAGGCTGTGAGACCCTGAACAGAAAGCCCAGCTAAGCTCTGCCTTGACGCCTGGGCCATGGGTGTTGTTCGAAGCTTCTAAGTGAGTGGTACCTTGTTATGAGCAATAGCCAGCCAATACAGATTTGGCAAGCTAAGTGGAAGCCAGTGTGACGTGGCCACCAACCATGCCGGCCTGACCCAGGGCACACCACCCCTTACCCCCACCCAGCACCGCACCATGAGCCACTGAGCCTCAGTCAATCACAAAATCTGCACCACCCTCCCAGGCTGGACCCACAGCAGGCCTGCTCTTACAAGAAGCGGCTCCACGGTGGAGCCATGCCTGCATCTCACACAGGTCAGCCATTGTGGCTCTGGGTCCAGGGCCTGCTTTAAAAACTCTTTTCTCTGTTCCAAGCCTCTTACTTAACATGACATCTCCTCACCTCCCTGCACCAGCACAGGCTCCACTGCTCTGGGGATGACTACCTAGCTCTTTCTGGGCCCTCCCAGGTGAATTCTGTTACCACCCAAACAGACTCCCCATGTGTAGGGAAACTGTGCCCAGCTGCCTGTGCCATCGGGCTACAGCACACACAGGAGCTCTGCACTGCTGGCAGAGAAACACCAATAAAGACGGGGTCACTCACGGCCACCTCCGGGGCTGGAGGTTGGGCCATTCTTCCCTTAGCGACCAGGACAAGTCACTTCCCCTCTTGGAATACATTGTGAAAGGAACAGGGACAGCCTGGAGTATCTCCTGGGCTTGCTCAGGCCCTGGAGCCGCATCCTACAGCCAATCTGCCAGAGCTGTGTTTGCAGGGCAGGGAAGAGCTGCTGTGGGAGACACTGAACTCCACAGACACTGTCCCTGCAGGGAAATCAGGACATGTGGGGAGCTACGGGTCCAGATTCCAGCTCCATGTGGTGAAGCTCTACAAGTCTGGGCTCTGTGTCAGTGGCTCATCAGAGGCAAGCCCCTCCTGCAGGAGGTACAAACAGGTAAAGGCCTTCGACCTCCTTCAGGGTGGGGCAAAGTATTGCCCCAGGCTCCAGGCTCCCGGGACACATCGGGTGGTGAGCTGGGCATGATCCAAATGACACAGGAGGCCAGGGCCGCCTCCTCCAGGCACCCACCTCTCCATGGGCAGAGGCTGCCTCAGGAGTGACGTGAGGATGGTCTCCCAGTGGCGGTGTGCCAGCAGCAGGATGCCTTCAATGAGAAAGCACCGCACCTCTGGGTGGTCCATCACCGGCAGGTGCACCAGGATGGTGCCCAGGATCTCAGCCACCTAGGGAGGGGTGGGGCATCACAGGGGCAGCCCAGGTCCCCATGACCTCCTGCACTAACCCCATGACATGCCCTTGCTCCAGGGGCTCTGGCCTAGTTGGACAATGAGCAGGTTAAACCCCCAGCACCCTCTCCAGCGCATCCTCTGGTCTGCCTGGAACTCATTTTCACAGGCTTTCAGTGCAGGAGGTGGTGTGCTCTGGGGAAGAGAGCCTTGACCTCCAGGTCAGCATGCACTTAACTCACCAGGCTACCTTCAACACGCTTCTTTCTATCTCTAGAACTCTGTTTCCTCCTCTTTAGCAGCCAGGGTTGGGGGAGGCATTCTCAGTGAGTGCTGGTGAGGCCTTCGCCCTTCCCTCTCATCTGCGCACACTGGGCAGCCCCAGCCACAGGCTCTGGTGGCCCCACCATGGCTCTGCCACCTTGTCTTCCAGCTCCTTGGTCCACATCTGGAGGAAGGAGCCTATCCAGGTGACAGAGGCCTTGTCATGCTGCAGGTCCATGGCCCCAATGTTCTTGCAGAGCTTCTGGATGAGTGAGACCACCTCATCACAGTTAAACTCTGTGCAGACCACCTAGGAGCAGAGTGGGCGACTCCCTGCCCTCCCCTGCCACTCCATGACTGCAGACACCCCCTCCTCCCCTGTCCCACCTCATGGCCCCACTCCAGGCTCCCACCCTTTCTCAGACCATGGCCACGGCCTCCTCCTGGGCTGAGCCGGAAGGGGCCTGGTCACCCTGTTTGGGTGGCTCCAGGCACTTTCACTCATCACTGTGCCATGAGGCTGCCCATGTGCCCACACCACGTGCAGAGCCTGTCCAGATCATTCCCATGGCACTTTCCACATTCAGTGTGGCACGTCATAGGGACAGGGAGAAGACAACAAAGCAGATTAAGCACCTACTGTGTGCCAGAGACATAGTAGGGACCTGACATACTACAGGCCCTTTCAACACAGTTGGGAGGAGTTGGGCCAAAGGCTGTGGAAGCCGAGACCCAGACTGGACTGTGTGGCCAGCCCAGGAAGGCCCCCCTCCCTGAGCGACAGCTGAGAGCCCCGAGACCAGCCCAGACAGGCTCCCTGGCTGTCACCTTGGTGATTCTGGAGGATGCACAGATCTTTTCCATGTCTGTGCCCTGGAGGTCCTCCTTACATTTCTCAAGCTGCTTCTTCTTGGAAGGGCCCCACAAGGAGCTGGTCTGGCTTGCTGTCAGGAATACATACAACTTCAGAAATAATCAGCAGGGACGAAGGGCCTGGTCACCCCATCTTCGTGGCAACCTCCTGCCCTGGCTTTGTAGGCCTGAGGGCCCTTCCCTGTGGTGGCCTCTGCCCGCACCACCTCTACACCCAGCTCAGAGGCCTGCTCTCCCCTGAGCTCAGCTCTGGCCAGCTCTGTCCCATGCTTGGCATCTGGGAGCCAACTTTATCCCAGCCAGGCCCTCAACGCCCAGCACTTGCCCTCTGTGGGTCAATCTGGGCTAATGAATCTCTCCTTCTAGAAGCTTTCATGGACTGTTGGTGAGCTCTCCCCTCACTGCTCCCGCTGATGGTCACCTTTGTTTCTCTCCATGCCTGCCGGCACAGAGGCTATACTTCCCTCCATGGCAGGCCACAGTCCACACTCCTGGAGTCAGCCCTCTCTCCCTCCCAGAGGGCCTGGCCCTCATGTCCTGCCCTCTCATACTGTGAAGATCCAGCAGGCTGGACAAGACATTCATTGAGGCCATGCGGGTTCTTTGATGGGCATCACAGGTGCACGGGGCGATAAGCCTGACCATTGTGCCAAACTGCCCCAGCTTCAGAGGGATCTGAGGATCAGGAGACCAAGGGGCTCACAACTCTGTGCCCTCACGCACACCTGGGGCTGCCCAGGGGCAACATAAAGGGCAACTTGAGAGGATAAAACTTGCTCTGAAAACACCCATTTGGGGAAAGGGAGGCTGCCACTGCCCATCCCGTGTCCACGTGTCAGCCTCCGCTGCACACAGCTGGACCCCTGGAGGCTGAGCAGTCTGGATCTGTGGGTCCTGGCTCAGAACTAGCTCCAACTCAGCTCTGCACCACCGACTCAGAAGTTCAGTTCACCACCCTGAACTTGGGCCCAGTTGTTCCTATAACGAACGCTGGGGATCACAGAGCTTCCCACTCCCTAGCTGAGCAGCCCGGGCAGGGTACTCTGCCTCCTGGTCTCATGTTTCCTGTCTGCACAGTGTCGGTAATGATGGCACCTCCTCTTGCAGGGAATGTTGTGGGAGTCCAGGCAATGCCCTCCACACAGCCTCTGGCCTCACATCTTACTGAGTGTTGGTCTCGGCCCCTGCCTCACAACCTCTATCCAGGTGCCCAGGACCAGAGTCCTGCCCAGCCCACTTCTCTCTCTGCACCTCCCAAGACCTGACGCCCATCCCGGCACCCCAGCCCCTGACTCCATCATCCTCCTGCCACAGCCATCCTGAGGACAAGGCAGTCAAAAAAGAGGGAGCCAAATAATGTAGAAAATTAAGTCTCATCAGGCTGTGTCAGATGGTCAATCAGTAAAAACACAGCATTGTAAGGATTGTGATACTCGTCACACTTTGCAAAATTTATGATTTTGCAGCACTTGATTTTCTCAAATATTCACTTTCCTAACCAATGTGGGATTCATAACTCTGCATCTTTTTTTCTTCAAAAGGGCTCTCACCACTCCAGGAGCCACAGGCCCCACAAAGCCTGGAGCTCTGCCAACCTCAGTCCCATCCTCTCCCTCCCTGACCCAGCCCAGGGCACCAGGTCACTGCAGCCTCTCCCAAGGGACTCTTCAGACACAGAACTTGGTTTCAAAAGTGCTCCCTCATCTCCCAGACAGAGACAGGAATTTTTCTGTGAATGTCAGAGTGGCAGGCTGGAGGCTGGGGCCTCCTGGACTCACGCAGACGCCAGTGCTATAGACATAGATCCGTGTGAGATAGAGCTGGAGGCTCATGGCCTTTTCCCGCTCCCATTCCTTCTCCGTCAGGATCCACTTTTTCAGGAGCTATGGGTAGAGCCCAGAACACAAAAGTGGGCTTTAAAATCCCTTCCTGGCCAGCTTTTGCCCCCCTCACCCTCCCAACTCAGATCAACTTTCAGTTTTTCCTTATGGATCTAGACAGGCCCCACCATGAAGAAAGATGAGGCTGTGGGCAGGGAGAGAGTGTCCCCATCCCCAGCATCCTCACCAGGATGGTGCCTGGCTGTTGCATTTGTCCTGGCTCCAAATGTCTGCCTATAATGAAGGTCCAGGAGCACAGCCCACCCTGCACTCCAGATGGCCCCAGAGGCCGTTCTGATACAAAAGTTCATTTCAGAGCAAATCACATTACCACAGATAAACAGATTCTTGTCATCACAGGGTCAGCTCATCAACCAGACATAACAATCCTACATGTTTATGCACCTAATAACATAGCCAAATAATACATGAAGAGAAAAAAAATGAAAGAACTGAAAGGAGAAGTAAACAAATTCACACTGTTAGAGATTTCAGTGCCTCTTTCTCAATAATTGATAGAACAAAAAGACAGAAAATCAAAAAGGACATAGAAAACCCAAAAAAATACTACTAACCAACTTGGCCTAATAGACGTTTTGAAACATTACACTTAACAACAGCAGAATATTTTTAAAATACACATGAAATATGTTCCAAGACAGATGGTATCTGGGCAACAATTTAAAAGGATTTAAAATATAGGATTTAGACCAGGCAGGTGACTCATGCCTCCTTTGGGAGGCCAGGGTGAATGGATCACCTGAGGTCAGGAGTTCAAGACCACACTGCCCAACATGGTGAAACCCTGTCTCCACTAAAAATACAAAAAAATTACCTAGGCATGGTGGCAGGTGCCTTTAATCCCAGCTACTCAGGAGGCTGAGGCAGGAGCATCGCTTGAACCTGGGAGGCGAAGGTTGCGGTGAGCCCAGCTCGTGCCACTGCACTCCAGCCTGGGTGACAAGAGCGAAATTCCGTCTCAAAAAAAAAAAAAAAAAATATATATATATATATATATATATATATATATATGAGAAAGTATGCCATCAGACAACAATGCAGTTAAATTAGGAATCCAAACCAGATAGAGTCTGGAAAACCCCTGAGTATTTGAAAATTGCCAAATAACTTGAAGGTCAAAGAAGAAATCATAAGGGAAATTAAAAATGTGTTTTGAACTGAAATAAAATTAGAAAACAATGTATCAAAATCTGTGAGATGCAGCAAAAAAAAAAAAAAAGAGTAAAATCTAGAGACTTACCTTATCTGATCCAGATTTCAGGGCTTATTATGACAATAATCAAGACAGTGTGGTATTGGTGTACCACAGGAAAACACATCAACGGAGCCAAGGAAGTGTCCAGAAATAGACCCACATGTACAAGGCCTTTGATTTTCAACAAAGATGCAAAGGCAGTTCAATGGAAAAAGGACAGTCTCTTCAACAAAGGGTGCTGAAACAATTGGCTATCCAGGTGCAAGAAACTGAAATAAACTTTGATCCGTACCTCAGACCATACAAAAATAAACTCAAAATATATCATAGACCTAATCATAAAACCTGAAAATACAAAACTTCTGGAAGAAAACATAGGAGAAAATCTTTGGAAGATTTCTTAGATTTGACACCAAATGCATGATCCATAAAAGAAAAAAAAAAGATAAATGAGACTTCCTCAAAACAAAACCTTCTGCACATTAAAGAATATTGGGAAATCAATAAAAAGGCCACAGACTAGGAGAAAATATTTGCAAATCACGTATCTGATGGACTGTATCCAGAATATGTAAAACATCTAAAAGTGTCCATAAAAAGAAAATAAACAACCCAATTTTTACCTAACCTGCCTTCAAAAGTGCCAAGGTTATGAAAGATAAAGAAAGACTGTGAAGCTCTTCCAGATGAAAGAAGGACAAAGAGACGTGACAGCTAGATGCAGTGCCGAAGCTGGATTGGATCCTGATCCACATTCTGATCCATTTCCTCTGATCCTGGATCAGAAACAGCTCTAAAGGGCATTATTGGGGCAACTCGTGAAATTCGAATGTGGGCCATCAATTTCAATACATGTATCAACATTAAATGTCCTGCATTTGGTCATGGTACTGTTATATAAGAGAGCACTGTTACTCTGGATGTCTGCAACTATCCATGATTCAAACGACACGTGCATTGAAGCAGAGAAGCAGAAGAAAACAGAGAAAGAAAATGTGAAAGAAAAAGCATTAAGAACTGTAAATCTGCATGAAGAGATTTAAGAAACATAAATCTGCACCTTTTCACTACACTTGCAACTTTTTATTAAATGTGGAATTTTATAAAAATGCAATCACTAAAACAATGTTTCATGTACTCTCCTGTGTCCCGTAGTCTGGTCCTCAGGCCAGCTGCTGGGGAGGAGTGGCCATCCCTGGCTCTGGCCCACTGCCAGACAACTCACCTGCACCATCTCCTGCAGCTGCCTGGGGTCCAGCTCCCTCTGCAAGAGGCTCTCCATCAGCTGCTTCAGGGTGCTTAGGGCGTTTGCATACAGGGTCTACAGCCAAGAGGGAGAGAGAGATACGTGGCACCCACAACCCCCCTCCCTGTGGGCAGTCTATGCCAGGGAGGGGTCTGGCAGTCATCCACTAACTTCTGCTCAATCTGAGCTCTTGATACTCATCTTCTCACGTGAAGTACAAGACAACCATTTAAGAGGAATTCACTTTACAAAGCAGGAAACTGAACTCCTGGAGCCCAGTTCTGATTCTTCATCTAGGTACAGGCCCTTGAGGCAGAGATGTCTACCTGTCCACAGAAGATTCCTTCTCCTCTTCCACAGTGTCCTCAGGGAAACAGCCATCCCATCAGGGTCTACATTTCCCAGGACTCCCTGCATGGGTGGAGCCATGTGACTGTGTTTCACCCAATAGAAGGGGGGCAAAATGGCTCTCAAGTCTCCCCTAGACTTTCTTTTCCTTCTGTCTAGGCTGGGTATCAATTCCCATTGATTGGGACCTTGGGATTCATGCTCTGAGGATGGGCAGCAGGTCTCCACCAGCCTGGATTCCTGAATAATTGCACAAGGCAGCTCCACTTCCACTCTCATTGACAATTGGACTTTACTTGATGTGGGTGATAAATATACTTTTATCTTGTCAACCCACTGAGACTTCAGGGTTTATCTGTTACAGCAGCCAGCATTACCTTATATTTACTCATAGAGCTTGATACACTCTGCTGCCTCCACATGCTTGAGGGTGGTTCAGGAAGGTGGACTCTCAGCATTGCCTATGTTAATGTTAACTTCCAGGTCCTGACCCAGCAAATGAGGTGGCCCAGAGGGACCTACTTTAATGGACTCATTGTCCTCTCCTGGGAGTTGGAGAGAAATTACCGAATGTATGCTGGTATCCATCAGCTCACTGTTTTCCTCCGTGGAGTAGAAAGGCTTCAGCTTGCTGGAGAAAGAAGCAGTAATGAGAGAGGAGTGGTCACTGGGGAGGTGCGCTTCTGCTGCCCCACTGCCCAGTCTGGGCATGAAGACACATCCTAGAAGAGGAACAGGCTGACTTCTCCAGTTGGAGGCTCTGGCATGCATCCCTCCCCAGGGACCCTGGCTCTGCCAAGTAACCAGTGTCAACTCTTGCCTGTGATTGAAGGGGGAGCTGCAGGGGTCCAAGGCCATCTCTCCTCTCTGCTGTTGCCTCCTCTGAACCTGTTACTCTCCTGCTCAGAAACAGTCCATTGCTCCTTGATGACTCCAACCATGGAATCTGCCTTCCCAAGCTGGTGCTAGTCCAGGGGCTTTCAAGGGTAATGCTTGGACCAGCAGCAGCCGCAGCAGCAGCAGCACTTTCAGTTTGGAGTTTATGAAAAACACAAATTCTATGGCCCCACCCAAGACCTGCTGAATCAAAAATTCTGGCGGTGGATTGCAGCCATCTGTGTTTTGATAAACCCTCCAGAGGTGGTTGCTAGAGATTGGTGTGTGCTAGCTCCTTCTCCTTCTAGCCCCTTCATCAATAGTTCTCAAGCTTGGTGCATATTAGAGCCATCTTGAGAATTTTTAAGGATCCTCAGGGACTATGGCCAAGCCTCAAGACCTGGAGTGGGACCTGGATATCCATACTGTTAAAATTCCCGTTGAGTTCTATTGTGTCCCCAGAGGTGAGAGCCACCATCCTACTTTAAACTCCTATTCACCAGAAGTATATTGTATTGCACTCCCCTGGGAAGCCCCAAGTACAGTCCTTCTGCTTAAGCCCAGGTCAAAAGTCAAATGCCAACTCTGCACCAAGCCTTTTCCTAGCTCCCTTTGTATAAACTGGGTTGCATTTTGTTGGTAGCCCTTTTTTGTTCTGATATTTTTTATGCCAGTGTGTGTGAGTTTACCTGCAAACATAGTCCCCTTAGTCAGCTCTGAGCTACAATTCTGTTTATATGTATCTGTCTTATCTCTAAGTCCCTAAAAGGCTGGCCCTAGGTCTTACGTATCACTGTGTCCCTTCAGTAGTCAGCATATAACTGCTTAGTTGATGTTCATGACATTTATTTAAAAATCTGCCTGTTTGATGCAGCTTAAAGCAATATATAATTCTGCTATGAGCCTAAGCAAGGAATCCTCCCCCAGAGGTGAGGTATTCCTAGAGATGACCCAAACACTTTAAATACCAGTTTTATAAACTCCTAACTTCTTACCCTTTCCCCCTCCCCACCAATGGATTGACATCTCCAGGAAGGCACCGGATCACTTAGTATGAATGGCATCAACAAATAGTTGACTGAGCATGACTCATGTTGAAGGACGCCCTCAATGCTCTTCAGTGTTATCACTGTCATTTCACTCAAAATATCCCCAGTCAATTGAAGAGCAGCCCACCCACATGCCATCAATCCAAGGAGAAGCAAGATTTTCAACTTGAAATCCTGCTGAGAATTATAGAAGGAGTGGCCGAGGCCAATCCCCATCTTCTAGGCTGGCCCATTGCCCAGAGAGCCACCAACAAGACCCCTGCTACAGAGGCAGGAGAGGAAAAAGGAGGAGCAACCCCTGAAGGAGAACCAAGGATTGGTCTTGAACTTCTCCCCACCCCTTGGAAAGGGATGCGGGCGGGGCCCAGCTGACCTCAGGTGCAAGAGGGCCTCCATCGCGAAGGCTCGCACTGCAGAAACCAGGTTGTCAGTCGTCTCCGCCTCGAGGACCGCCTGCCCAACACAAGCAGGGGTGGTGGCGTTTGGTAACCATGATGGTGGCAGCATTCCCCAGTGTTAGCCCAGGGAAGACCTGGCACTTCACAGAGCACTCTAGCATCCAGCATCTCTTTCATTCTTTTTAGGGCCATTTGGCTGGCATCTCAGGGGAGGCAGCAGAGTAGGAGTGGGGCCCAAGGTGGGCCTGGGTTGCTCATCTACTTGCTGTGTGCCCCTGGGCCAGCACTCCCCCTGCCTGAACCCAAGTCCCTTCTCTATACAAAGAGACCTAGAGACCCATTTTACAGGGTTGCTCTGGGTGAGCGTGAAAGCACAGGTTCAAAGCTCCTGGCCAGGGTGAGAGCCAAGTAAGTCCCATTTTCTGCTCATTGCCTTCTGTTCCGCCTACACCTCATGCCCCTCAAGGGCCACTTCCAGCACAACCCAAGCAGCTTTGAGGGGCCAAGGGATTGGTAATGACATGGGTGGGGAGGCCTGGGATGAAGGACATTGGCAGCCCCATAGGCTGCACCAGCCTTTGGACATGGACATTTATTTTGTCTTACATCCCTACATGCATCCTTCAGAGCTTCCCCCCTGCCCTTAAAGCCCTCCAACAGGGAGACAGTGAAGCTAGAGCCAAGCCTGCCCCGGGGATCTCTGTCTATCAGGCCTGAACCAGGTGCCCTGGGCACTGTGGGACCCAAAACAGTCGGAATCTCCCCACCTGGTTTCCAAATCATTGACTGGCTATGAAACCCTTTATCAGATAAAAAATGATTCTCAGAACTCCTACAATTAGGTCAAAACAGAGCCAAGACAGATAAGGGTTTCAGAGAACTCTGCAGATACCCTCAGAAACTTTGAAAACCTCTCACTGCAGGGAGTCAGACCCCAAAACCAGGACCCAGGGCCAAGGAAGTGCCCCAGCCAGCTTACCACTATGATGCTAGTGAGAGTCGTCTTCTGGGCAAACTGAAAGTCCTCCAGGTCCTTGATGTAGTTGATGGCCTTGGTAACCTGCACAACACTCTTCATGAAGGCCATTTCGAGACAGACGTCCCGTTCCCAGAAGAGGAAAAGGAGAGAGAGGATGTTTGTGAGCAGCCCCGGAAGAATCCAAGCTGCAGCCTCTGCTTCTGGGCTCCTTCTGCTCTGAAGAAAGAGTTCAATGTTGAATGCTCTGAGAGATGGCCAGCCTCCCTCTGTCCTTCAACCACATGAATGGAGCACCTGCCACATGGCAGGGCCACAGGCACATGGCAGGGATATGAGGTGAGGTGCAGCACCTGGGTCCACATGTGATATGGTTTGGCTGTGTCCCCATTCAAATCTCAACTTGAATTATATCTCCCAGAATTCCCATGTGTTGTGGGAGGGACCCAGAGGGCAGTAATTGAATCATGGGGGCCAGTCTTTCCCATGCTATTCTCATGATAGTGAATAAGTCTCATGAGATCTGATGGTTTATCAGGAGTTTCCACTTTTGCTTCTTCCTCATTTTTCTCTGGCCACCACCATGTAAGAAGTGCCTTTCGTCTCCTGCCATGATTCTGAGGCCTCCCCAGCCATGTGGAACTCTAAGTCCAATTAAACCTCTTTTTGTTTCCAGTTTCAGGTATGCCTTTAGCAGCAGTGTTAAGATGAACTAACACACCATGGAAGATGCCACCTCCCCAAGCCTCCCGAGGGCAGCAAAGCAGCTCAGGGGCCGCCTTCAGTGACCAAGGGCCCCAAGCCCTATGTGTCACCACAGAGGCAGGACAGGTTATTGAGAAAACATTTGCTTTTACATGGATGAACCTTGAGGACGTTATGCTAAATGAAATAAGCCAGACACACAAGGACAACTGTCATATGCTTGCACTTAGATGAGGTATCTGGACTAGTCAAAGCCACACAGACAGAAAGAAGAAAGGTGTTTGCCAGGGCTGGAGGGAGAAGGGAATGTGGAGTTGGTGCTGAGTGGATATAGGATTTCAGTTTTGCAAAATGAAGAATCCTGGGATGGACGGCAGTGACGGTTGCACAATGTCAATGTACCTCATGCCACTGAACTATACATACACTTAAAAACGGTTATGATGATAAACTATGTTATGTGTATTTTGCCACAGTTTTTAAAAATAAAAACAATGTTTGCTTTATTCTCTGTGTTTGCCCCTCCTTGCCATTCCAGGTAGATAGCCAATCCCTATGCATGTTTTTGAAGACAACCCTACCTCTTGTTCCTTATGAAAGGGTCTGGGTCAGTGTCACGGAGGGCCAGAGGTGGGGGAAGAGGGAGTGGGAGAGGCTGGAAAGAGGTGGAGCTCATCTTGTAGCTTCTGGGGACCCCGCCCAGCACTCTGGGAAAAGGGCTATCTTCACCCCCCGCCACCCCCTCTGCATGACACCAAAGCACAGCGAATAGCACATTTGGGCACAATGGGCTTCCCAGCTGGGCATCAGGTAGGACACCTGGATGTCCCCTGAGTAGGATGTCCCCTGGGTAGGGATGCAGGTGTCCAGAGAGTGGCAGAGGGCCACTTAATACATCTTTATTGAGCATCTACCAGTTACCAGGCACTGGGCATGCAGTAGTGAGCAAGACAGGCCAGGGCTGTAGATGCCCAAACCACCCATCTGCTGTGGGGGAAGGTACTCGTGAGCGTCGCTAAACAGAGGCTGCTTGCACACCTCATACCTTCACTTCTGGTCGCTGGCTACAGGCCAGGCACACACGAGGCTGGAAATACAGCGGGAACCGACAGCCTCCACCTTGCCCTCATGGTACTCACACCCTCAGAACAATCTCTGAGTGGGAGGAGATATTGGAGGCCACCAAACCCACTGTGGATGGGGAACAGGGGCCCCAATGCTCCCGCCCCCAGGCCGAGTAGAAATCCAGGTGTCAAGTCCTCTTTGCAGAGAAGCCGGGACAAAGCCTAGGACACTCTCCATTCTCTCCATCCAAACAACCAGACCCTGAGGCAAGGGTTCCAGGTCAAGGGCAAAGCCTGAGTCATAGGCAATGGCTTCAGATGGTTTCCCACTAGGAGCTCAGCCAGTCGGTGAGACCGTCCCCCGTGGCAGGGAAGGGCAGCTTTCAGAGGATTGGGCCATGGGCTGTCTGGGTCCAAATCCTGGCTTCACCACTGAACCAGCCATGTGCCTATGGACAAGCTTCAGTGTTCTCACCCTGGAATGGTGGGCTAGAGCCCCTCCATCCCAGCACTGTCCATTCATTGAGGGAGCTCCTGGTGCCAAGTACCCACTGAGCACTATCTGAACAGTTTCTTCAGATCCTGTGGGTCTGCATGGAGCCTGGGACTCTGCATTTCCAACCAGCACCCAAGGAGCCCCTGCTGCCAGACTGAAACACCCCCCTCCCCAGCAACACTGCCATGAGTAGCAAGGGGCTGGGACTCCGTGACAGTATCTGGGTCCTGGAAAGGCCCACCCTGCATTTTCAAGATGATCCAGTAGCAAAAGCTCTGTCCAGGAGGTCTCACTCTAAGACAATGTCTCAGTCATTTTGGTGACAGGAGACATTGTGGGAGGCAAGTTTCCTGAGATCTAGAAAGGACCTTGGGTCAGTGCCCAGAGCACTGTGCTAAGAGGTTCCAAGAGCCAGCTGTGGAGCAAGGGTGCCTTACCTGCCAAGCGCTGATCTGCCAGGACTGCTCTGACTCCTGGATCCTCTCCTCAAAGTCATGAAGCACATTTAGCACCGTTTTCACCTGGCCCAGGACACACAGGCCAAAGCACAGAATCACACCCTGCAGGGAGACCCAACCAGCCAGGGTGAGCGCAGGGGCCAGTGGGCAGAGGAGGACCCCACACACATGTGCATGGCACACACACATGTACACAAAACACCTGCAGGCACATGAACACACATCCCCCGAGGGTCCAGAGGCATCTGGTAGACAGGAGGGGGTTACATGCACCCTCACCTTGCAGTCAAAGTCATTGCTGAGGTCTGTCTTGTACAGCAGCTCCAGCAGCAGGACCTCCACCTTGCTGGCCTCCAGGACTGTGGCCAAGGTGAGGCCCAAGCCCTGGAGAGGCAGAAGGGAGAAAGGAGCTCCAGCCTCCCTATGGCCAGCCTCCAGGGGGTGCTGTTGAGGAGAGTTTGCTACATATTCTTCCGTTTTTTTAATGTACAGAGAATACCTGCACACACGTTTATAGCAGCACAATTCGCAATTGCAAAAATGCGCATCAATCAACAAGTGGATAAAGAAACTGTGATACACACACACAATGGGATACTATTCAGCCATAAAAAGGAATGAATTAATGGCATTTGCAGCAACCCAGATGAGATCGTAGACTATTATTCTAAGTAACTCAGGAATGGAAAACCAAGCATCATATGTTCTCACTCATAAGTGGGAGCTACGCTGTGAGAATGCAAAGGCATAAGAAGGATACAATGGACTTTGGGGACCTGGGGAAAGCATGAGAAGGGCGTGGGGGATAAAAGACTACAAATTGGGTGCAGGGTCGCTGCTTGGGTGATGGGTGCACCAAAATCTCACAAATGACCACTTATGCATGTAACCAAAGACCATCTGTTCCCCAAGAACCTGTGGAAATTAAAAATTTAAAAATAAATAAATAAATGTTCAGGTTAATCTGGGAGGTCAGACTATATAAGGACAGGCATGTTACATGAATTAAAGGGGGGAGTGTAAATTGGTTCAACTCCTGTGTAAGTTGAACCAATTTACACTCCCACCAACAGATCTAAGAGCACCAGTTTCTCCACCTGCTCCTCAACATCGGTCATAATCAGTGAGAAGTAGAACGTTCTCACTGTGAGGTGCTTCTTGGATTATTAGTGTGCTGATCATCTTTTCATATTCTCATGATTTCATTTTTTGAATTTCTGGCTATTTTCTTTTTCCCATTTTTTGATGGGTTTTTTCTTTTTTATTTGTAAGAATTTCGTTTTATATTTGGAGACAAAATGAGAACCACCATGTATTACTTCATTAAATCCTCACCACAAGTCTATAAGGTAAATATTGTGATTGGTTTTGGAGATGAGAAAACAAACAGGAAGTAGTAGGACCACACAAAAATGTTAGTTTCTATAAAGTTTATCTCTTTTCCCTTGTCTTTCTTGGTTTGTTTGCAGGCATATAAAGGTGATTCCATGTTAAGATTATAAAAACATTCATCAATATATTCTTCTAATTTTTCCATGGTTTTATTTTATACACTTAAGTCTGTGATCTGTTCCGGAAGAACATATTCTTCCTAATGTCTTTCTTTTTCACTTTCTATATTGTATTATTTTTAGCACAAGAGGTTTTAATTTTTATGATGTATAATTTTTTTTGTCATGTGTGCTTTTTGGTGTCATATCTAAGAAGGCTTTGCCTAACCAAAGGTCACAGATTTACCCTGTGTTTTTCTATAATCTTATACTTTTGGTTCTTTTATTCAGGTCTGTGATTCATTTTGATTTAGTTTTACGTATGATGTGAGGAAGGGATCCAATTTCATTATTTTGCATGTGGATTTCTAGTTATCCCAGCACCATTTGTTGAAAAAAAAACTACTCTTTCCCCATTGAATTGTCTTGGCACCCTTCTTGAAAATAAATTAACCATACATGTGAGAGTTTATTTCTGGACTCTCGATTCTATTTTATCAATCTGTATGTCTATCCTTATGCCAGTATCTCACTGTCTTGTTTACTGCAATTGTGTAAGGCGTTTTACCGCAGTTGTGTAAGAAGTTGAAATTGAGAAGTTTGAGTCCTCCAACTTTATTCTTTTCAACACAACTATTTTGGCTGTTCAGAGCCCCTGATATTTCCAAATAAATCTTAGGATCAATTTGTCAGTCTCTGAAAAATAAAAGAACTAGCTTGGATTATGACAGGGGTCATGTTAAAACTAAAGATAAATTTGGAGAGTATCATCATTTGAACAATAGCATCCCTCAAACCATGAACATGGGGCGCTGTTTATTGAGACCCTCTCTGATTTCTTTCAGTAATGTTTTAGAGTTTTGTAGCAATGTGGTATAGTTTTGCTTTTACAAAGAAATATACACATGTGATTGCTAACCAGAATCTGGAAGATCAACAAAACAAAACAAAACTAAAACCACCAACCTAGACCACCCATCTCTCCTCCCTGGACCCTGTAAACAGCCACAGGTCCAGCTGATCTCACATGCACAGTGTAATCCTCTCCACCCCATTATTCCTGGAGTCTCCTCCCTGTCCAAACCGTCCTGTCCCTGTGAAGACGAGCCTTCTCCAGAGAGGGGCTGTCAAAGCTCACAATCTGCTTGTTTAGCTCTTTACTCAACAACAGGCTCCATCCAGCTGGACCTCCAGGTCTTCTTGAGGGAGTTTTGCAGAAACTGGAGAGGCAAAAGACATTGGTAGGAAGGGCCAAGGGCCTTCATCCCTGTTCTTGCCTTGTCTCTGGGAATGCTATGTGACCTTGAGGCCCTCTCTCGCTTCCCTTGCCCACATCTCCAGATCACTAAGTCCATAGATCCCTGATCCAGTGCTAATAATGTTCAGTGTGTCTAAGGAATGGCTGTGGCTCTGTGGGCTGGCAGGAGGGGTGTCACTCCCTGCTGCCCTCTTGGGCATCTGGCTCTTGGGATGGAAGGTTCTCTCAGTTCTCCCCGGTGGATAGACACAATTATGGACTCTGTAATTCCCAAGGCTTCTCTGACAGAAGAAGAACATATCCTTTAGGGGCTTCTAAACTCCCCACATGCCAAGCCCACCAAATGCCTTTCCATCTGCTCCCATCTTTCTCCTCCTCCCAGGCCTCAGTAAACGTGTTACCCCTTTACCTGAATCAGCTTGTCCTCCCAGGCTTTCTGATCCCAAGTGAACTCAGTATGTTCTGCAGGAACACATGCCACTTTCTTCCACTGCTCCCCTAAGTCTGGTCTTCGAGGCCCTCCATGCCTCCTTAGCCTGGCATTTGAGGCCCTCCATGGATGAACCCATCACGTGCCACATTGCACTCCCCTCCTTCCCAAGCTGCTCAACCAGTTCTCAGAACCAAATTGAGCTCTATGGGTCCACTGTGAGCCTCAGCTCTTGTTATTCAAGTCATATGACTAGAAACCCAGCATGTACAGGGATTGGAAGGTTGGCTTGGGATGGGCTCCCTGAGCACCTCACCTTCCAGGTACCGGACCAGTAGTGGGATCTCCAGCTCCCACATGTCGGCCATGGAGGGTGCGATGCTCTGGCTCAGGGTCCTTAAGAGGTTGAGCATGGCTATCCCACGACCATCCCCCTTGTAAGGTGATGACATCAGCACCTGGAGGGCAGCAAGACTCCAGTGAAATAGCACATGAGCACCTCATTCCCTGTCTTGGAGCTCATTGTCCTCATTTTTAAAGGGAGGATTTAGACAAGATGGGTGGTTTTCAAATAGGGATTTCAAACAGAGAATGCACCTGCAGAGGACATTGCAGAAAGGAGTGGGGATGAGGGGCCAGACCTGGGCTCCCTCCCCACCCCAGGCTTCAGTGCAATATAGATGAATGTCCACAGTTAACATAAACAGGAGAACTCATGGATCCTGGACTGAGCCAACCCCCAGGGGTGGGCAGGCATTGGCCATGTCACAGAGATGCTTTGGGCAGAGGAATTTAGGAGCAGATCCAGGCCAGCTCCTCGATTATTGTAAGTGGACTGCCTCTACCACACTCGAAAGGGATGCCAGGACATGGAATGCCCTGTCCTGCCAAGCATCAAAATCCCTCATTACATTCACGGCTTCCTTCTACCCCTGGGGCTCTGGAATAAGGAGCTCAAGGAAGAGGTGCCACAGGGCATAGCCTTGCCAGGCCAGGGCATGGTGCAGGTCAGCCACTCACCAGGAGACGGGCCAGCAGCTTCTGAGGTGCAGGCAGGTCCACTGATTGAAGGAAATGCAACCCCAGCTGAGCCTTCCTGCCTCATACCAGGACATGCTCCTGTGCCCCCATCTAGGGACTTCACCCTAGAAGGTGCTTCCCCAGCATTATCTTGTTCCCCAGACCCCCAGAATGGAGAATGGGTTGGCAAAGGGAATTTCCTAAGAACGTCATTACATTTCACTTATCCCGGGAAGAGGGGAGAATTGTGCGAATGGATTGAGGTTTACAGGAGGCTCTTTTCAGGCTATGCCCATTTTGTAGTGGACACCAGGACTTGCTGTGACGGTGTTTTGTCTCTTACTATGAACCCTGGCCTCTGTCGAGCCACGAGTGATTAGACACTGCCTTTCTGCCCACTCCTGACTCTCTTCAAAGGCTTAGGGAGCCAATGAGCCCATGAAAAGCAAGCCATCAGTGTGCAAAAATGAACAAGGGTAAGGCCAGGCCTGCTGAGAAGAGGCAATTGCTGGGCCCTGGAGAGGACTCAGCCCAGTTCGAGAGTGAGAGGGGCATGAGGAAGACCTCAGAGGATCACCTGGAGGCTTGTTTAGATCAAAGTCAGAGAGCAGGCCCTGCCCTTCACTGGCCCTGGATCCTAAAGGCCCCCATCAGTCACCTCCATTGCCAGCCATGCCCTTGGGGCCAGAGGTGGGAGGGAAGGGGACAGCAGCAAGCATGGGAGGTGAGCATAGCTGCTTTGCGAGCCTGGTGTTAACAGTGCCTACTCTGAGCAGACCACAGTGAGGGTAGTCTACAGAGGATGTGATCCTTAGAGTTACTCTGGCTCAGAGAAGTGAGACGGAGCAGAGGCCCAGTAAGGCCATGCATGGGAAAACCTAGGTCAGGAGCTCCCAAGGACGGATCTGGACCAGGGTTGGGGGCTGAGGGGACAGGACATGAGGAGTGAGCTACCCAGAAGGAAGTTTACACAATTCGAACATGTCCTAGATATGACCAGGTAGGCATTAAGAGCCAGGTAGGCAGTCGTAGCATTCATTTGGACTTGGATGTTTTCAGAAGGGGGAATGAAGGTAGGAGAAATAAGGAGAGAGGTGGACATTCCCAGACAAGGAGCCAGCCCACCTGCCCAATCCCAGCAGCTGGCATAGGAGCTCTACCCACCTTGCCTGCTTTTGCCAGCCATGCTGACATCCACGTCCTGGCCATGGAGCTGGTGCTCTGCCAGGTTTGTGAGGCTGATACAGATAGGAGTCAAGGCTTCCATGTAGTCTGTCTCCATGATGTAGCAAAACTCCTGGGGTGGGGGTGGGAGAGAAAGGGGCCCAGAATGAGCCCAAGCCCTGGGCCTCTAAGGAGAATAGTCAGACTCCACCGTGGTGCCAGCCCCACCCCCGCTTCCCCAGAGCTGTCCCGACAGTCTCAGCCCTGAACTGGCTCCACGGTCAACCCCAGTCCTTGTCAGAGGCATTTCAGTGTCACCCACCCTGATGTAGCAAGAGAGTCTGCCAGTCCCTGCTGGGGGCAGCATGCACACTGCCAACTCCTGTTGCTGCTGGCCTCATACAAACCCATACCCATCACACCCTCTTCACCAGGGCCCTTCCTCTGATCCCAAGTCCTCTAGAGGTGCGCCCTGGGCAGACGATCCAGTTGTGCGTGCCTGGTATGATGGTCAGTTTTGTGTGTCAGCTTGGCTAGGCAAGAATGCCCAGTCTTTCAGTAACCTACGAATCTAGGTGTTGCTGTGAAGGTGGCTTGTAGATGTGATGAAAGTGCATAATCCATAAAAGAGATTATCCTCAGTAACACAGGTGGGTGAAACGCCTTAAGGGTGAAATGCTGAGGTTTCTCTGAGGAAGAAGCTATTCAGCCACAAGACTGCAGCATCTGCTCCTGCCTGAGTCTCCAGCCTGCTGGGCTGCCATGCAGCTGTCAGACTTGCCAGTCCCCACAACTGCATGAGTCACTTCCTTAAAATAAATCAGACTACATATGTCTTCTACTGGTTCTGTTTCTCTGGAGAACCCTGACTGATATGGATTCTTGGAGCTGTATCTCCAACTTCACCCCACCATCTCCCCTTTCAACACCCGCAGCTAGCTAACTGTAATACCTCTTCTCCCCACCCCCACCCCTAGGAGTTTAGGGTGAGGTTCTTGTGCCACCAACTATCAAATGCAATGACTTAACGTGTTCCAGCCACCAGGACTAGAATCTCCCAGCTCCTGGGCTTCCCCATAAAGGTAGCATAGTGAATTAGAAAGAGAATTTCAATCCTGGCTCTATTGTTTACCAGCTGTGAGGCTTTGAGCAAATTAATGAATTCCTCTGGGTCTCGGTTTCTTCCTCGACAAAATCAGGATAACAACTATCCTCTATGGGGGTAGTTGTTGGGACAATTGAACAAGATTGTACATGTTGCACACCTAATGCAGTATACCTGTTATATGTTGGTGCCACATGGACTGTAGCTATGATGATGATGATGATGATGATGATGATGATGATGATGATTTCTGCAATTTAAAAAGCTGTCACTGGACAGGGATCATCTAGCCTGCAGCCTCACTTAGTAAATAATCATTCCCTCCTTGATGCTCTCATGGTACATTTTTCCTATCTTATTGTTATGTCACATTTTGTTGCAATTAAAAGTTGACACATTTGTTTCTCCCATAGCCAGTGAACTCCTTCCAGTCATACTGATTCCTCCTAGTGCACATTCCTCTCCTGTCTTTCACAGGGTAAGAATTCAATGAATGTTTACAAAATTAAACCATGAAAATCACTGGTCTACACACACACCACACACACACACACACACACACGGGCCTTAAAGTAATGGACACATTTCAGGTACCCAGTGAAATGATACAGACTGATACTGCCACCATGCTGATGTCCTGCACCGCCCAGCCTCTAGGGGTAGAGAGATGAAGAGTAAATTCCCATTAAGGACTCGGCTTTGGAACCGGGTTTTGAGTAATTGCAGGCAGCTGGAAGAGGAAAGCCCCTCAACACTCCAAACAGCGGGAACGGAAGAAGCTAAGATGTGGAATTCTGGGCACGTGTGGTTCACCCCCAGCCTAGTGTGGTGACCCACAGTGTGGGTGGGGCAGGGCTCACTCACGTTGGTCATCCCACTGACGGAAGAGGTAATGATCTTTACAGTGTCCATGGTGACTCTGTGGACCATTCTCTCCTCCGAGTCCCTCTGAGAAAAGTTCTCCCAGTGATTTGTCTGAAAGAAAGAACCAAGGGACTCCCACCTGTGGCCTGGCTGAGGCTTGCCATGGTCTCAGGTGTGGTCTCCTCACTCCCCGGGGGCTCCATGCCCAGAGAGAGTCTCCAGAATGCTCAGAGCTGTGCATGTGTCTAGGACCCCACACATTGTTACCTGCAGGTTTACTGTGTGTCTTTGAACTCATGTCATGAATGGATACGCAGGTTCCAACACAGGTGTGCTGAGTGGCATTCTCCCCTCAACACTGAGGAAACCATTTCCAAGTCCAGCTGCTCTGTGGGCTGCATATCAAAGCCACTCACCAGTTTGTAGGTAGTTAAGGTCAGCTGCACAGACACGTACTTCAAGCCCCAGCCTTTGATTCTCTCCTGGTAGCCAGAGAGAGCCAACTGCCCAATGATGCGGAGAATAGCCATCCTCACCTGAGGGGACAGGGCCGTGAACATGCCGGGGGTAGGGGTGGGCTCCAGGGTACCCGATCCTATGATATAGAGAGCTAGGAATTGGGGTGCTTTGAGCAGGAAGGGACCTCAGGGGCTACCTGACTGCTGCCCACCTCCACCTGCATCATCCAGGGGGTCCCACTCTGCAGCATGCCTACCTAGGAGCCTCACTGAGCCTTGCAGAGACATGGAGCTCCCTCCCTCCCTTCTGCTCCGCGCTAGCAGCCCTGGCGGTGGGGAATACATCTGTTGTCCTGGGCTTTCGGGGGCTGCTCCATCGATGAGAATCACTATGTGCAGGAGATGCAGAAGGAGCCTTTTCTCTCTTCCTTCCATGGCCTCCAGGTATTGAAGACAGCTCTGCCTAACTCTCTAGCCCTAATTCTCCTCCATTCCCTCCCTGCTTTTCCTCAAAACTGCTGTGCAGACCCTCACTACCCTGGACCTCCCTTCCCCAGCCCACGGCCGGAACCAAGCTCCACTCCAAGGTGAACATGGCTGCCATGGAGCCTGGGACTGTGGTTCTCAGCCTTTTGAGGACAGGGAGGGGAGTAGCCCTTAGTTGCGTTTTTTCACATGCGACAGAAGCCCTAAGCAGCGGAGGGGTTCTAGCTGCAGCTGGATTTGCTCAGCCTCTGCTGGGTCCAAGGTGGTGCCTGAGACACACCATTCGAAAACTCTAGATCCTTGGAGAGAATGAGGAACCTCAGCTTTCATTGGCCTAGCCATCCTGCAGCCCAACTCGAGACCCGATGGAAAGCTGGGTTTTCTATCATAAGCCTCCACCTCCCCGAGCCCAGACTTCCCTTTGCCTCCCTGGCAGGGTCCCCTGTGTGCCCTCCATTTCCAGGTCTCTGCCCTGTTACCTTGGACCGGGTGTCAGAGAGGGTGTTCTTGACCACCCGGATGGCCAGGTAGATGGCCCTGATACTCATCCTGGGCTCTGAAGGAGGAAAACCGGGTGGGCTGGAGGGCTGCAGCTCAGGGGGATGTCAGGTGGCTCGTCCCACATCAGGGCCTTGTGTTCTGTCTCCCCCCACATTCCCCAAGCTCAGAGATACATTTGCAAAAGCCTCCCTGGCCACACTCTCCCCGGCCTTCTCCCTCCCCTCTGTTGTTTTCCCATGCCTCATTCCCTTGGTCACTGCTTTGTGTGTGTCTCATTTGAACCCAGGTGAACTCTCCTTGAGGGCAACATCTCCGCCTACGAGCTCTTTAGTCCCTACAGCTGGGAACCCAGTGGGTCCTGGCGCCAGGCCTGGCCTGGGTTCAAATCCTGGCTCCACCACATCCCGGCTGCGTGACCTAGGGTGAATTACATTGCCCTTCCGCGCCTCAATTTCCTCACCTGTAAAGTATGGATAATAACAGCGCCTCTCTCACTGAGTTAACGAAGTGTCTGGCACACCCTAAGGCTGGGCAAGTGTTTGCCAGTTGTGTTTACTAGCAAGGAAACAAACTTGCTGAGGATAATGGTATAGTGTGAAAGCAGCTATACAGCCTGCAAAGGCAAAAGCATTTTTACTATCTAGTCTTTTGCAGAAAAATGGCCAGGTGAACCCTAGTCATTATCTTTATCATCTCTAGTCATTGAATTGGTGAAAAGGATTTCACTGTTACTTAAATGTGCATTTCTTTAAGAGAAAGGTTTAATGTCAGCACAAGGCCCTTTCTACACAGTTGCCCAGTTTGTGCACTGAACAAAGCTACCCGACTTTAGGGCTGAGTGAGGGCTGCCCACACTACTCTTCTACCACCTAGGGCTGCATGCTGCCAGCAGGGGCCATCTTCAAACTCACACAAAGGCACAGCATGAACTAGTGTCTAGGTTAGGTACAGGGGTTTTCTTTCCATATCGAGCCTAGGGTTAGAGTTTGGGCTTAGGGATTAAAATCATGTTTAGACTGTGGTTTGAACATTGAGTCCATGGGGCTTCAGGGTTATGCCTCTGTGGTGTAGTTCGGCCTTACATTCAGCCTCTGAGCTTTGGTGGTTAGCAGGAGGATTCAGGTTAACAATTAGAAACTCGGACTCAGAGGGTTGGGCATGGGGAGGGTAAGACATAGTGCTGGTTAGGTTAAAGCTTAGAAAATGTGAAGCTGCCAAGAACCTTGGCTTTCTCGGCCCACCCAGTAGTGTCTAGGAAGTGGCAATGCGGGGACATGAATGAAACTTGCCTCCCTTGTCCTCCACCCCGCCCGCCCCACCTGCCCAGCCTGGCTCACCATCTGCGCTCACTATAGCCCTAATCAGAGTCAGAGTCCCCACGTGGACGGCTTCCTTGCTCATCTCCATCTGGCTAAAGAAGAACTTCATCAGCTCCTTGGGGTAGGAGCGAGCTGCAAGGTGGAAGGACAGCTTTAGTTATGCCCACTGGGCCCAGAGCAGGCACAGCAAGGCAGTCCCAGGCCCAGCACTCAGAGGGACCCAGACTCCTAGAGGGCCCTGCAGGCCCCACCACCGAACAGAGCCTCACCAAGGGCTAGGAAGCAGTGCACCATCTCCATCAGGTTCTGGCTGCTGTACTGATGCTGGTCCGGGGCCTTGTTGCACACCTGAGGAGGGGCATGCAGCGAGGGTGGAGGAGATCACGGGGACACAGGTGCAGGAGCAGCAAGCTGACCATACCTGGGGCTGCATGGGCACCACGGCCTCACACCTCATCAGGATACAGGAGGCACACGAGTGAGTTGTGGGCCAGGCCACCTCCCACCACCAGCTTCCTGCTGATCCACCCAGAGAATGCCCTTGTCCAGCCAAGCTTGCCAATCTCACCTGGATATGCAGTTCTGTGAAAACGGTGTGTAGCTGCATTTGGGGGACGGGGGTGTTGGTGATGACTGACACTTCCAGGATCTACCTCAAGACCTGCAGTGGATAGGCAGACGGTGGCCTTCTACCAACTCAAGGTCAAACTCTAGACCCTTGCTACTCAGAGGCCCACGGATGCACCGAGCATCAGCATTCCCTGGGAGCTGATTAGAAGCACAGACTCTCGGGCCCTACCCCAGTCCTGCTGAATCCAAGCCTGCATCTCACCCAGCTCCCAGGTCATTCCTATGCACAGCAAGGCTTGGGAAGTGCTGCGCTAGGCCACTGAGCACGGCACTGAAGGCCTCCTTCAGCTAAAAGTGAATCCCATTCATTCTTTAGCCAGAATGATCTACAAATGGCTCCTAAATCAGCCACGTCCCTTTCCACTCCTTGCTTTAAGTGCTGAGGCCCACATCCTGCTTATAGATGAGCGACTCCTTTACCTGGCACCGGGCCCAGCCACAGTGCCTCTCGGAACCCCCTCTCGGAACCCCGCTCCATCTCACACATCTCACTCCTTTACCAAGGCTGCCTTGAGTTGACTGGTGTCCTCCCAAAATTCAGGCCCACCCAGAATCTGAGAATGTGCCCTTATTTGGAAATAGGGTATTTGTGATGTTATTAGTTCAGGATCTCGAGGTGACATCATCCTGGATTTTGGGTAGGTGTCCTCATAAGATGAGGACACAGAGGGACACAGAGGGAAAGGCCACACCATGAGGAAGGCCACTGACCCAGAACACATGGGGCCACCAGAAGTGGAAGAGGCAAGAGCGCTTGCTTCCCTGGAACCTTCAGAAGGAGCACAGTCCTGCCGACACCCTGAGTTTGGACTTCTGACCTCCAGAACGTAGAGAGAATACATTTCTGTTGTTTTGAGCTCCCCGTGTGTGGTTCTTTGCTATAGCAACCCTAACAAACTAATGCAAAGGCCACAGCCTTGCCACAGCCTCCAAGGGGCCAGCACCTGTCCCTTCCACCCGGAATGGCAGTGTTCATTGCCCACAAGTCCCACGTGTGCCAGGCTCCACACCCCTCCCTTGCAGGGCACAGATGTCAGGTTGTCGACAGTGTCAACAAAATATCTGACATCCCCCCTCCCACCCATAGGATACCCCTTAGACACTCGGGAGCCCCCAATTCCCTAAGCCTCCTGCCCAAAGCCATGCCCAACTGGCCGCTCGCCTGTGTGGTGAAGAGAGCCTCCAGGTACTCCGCCAGCAGCAGGGGGATGTAGTCATAGACCTGCTCCTTCAGGTCATCGTTGGGCAGATGGAGGTTGAGCATGGGCTTCAGGGACTTGATCACCCCCAGCTTCACCTGCCACCAGAAACTGGCTCTTCAACTCATTGTGTCACAACCCTCCAGCAAGGCTGGTGACCTCAGCCCCAGCCACAGAATCCAAGGACAGAACAGAAGGGGCCTCAGAAGCAGAGCAAGGCCCTTCCTGCACAGGTGGCTACATTTGAGTCCCTCCTGCTTAGCAGCCGCATGACCTCGAGCAGGTACTTAACTTCCCTGTGCCTCAGTTTCCTCATTTGTCAAATAAAGTCCTACATCACAGAGGGGGTGTGAAAATAGCTCCCATGGATAAGACGCTGGCAGAGTGTCCAGCATGTAACAAGTGCTCTCAGGATTCTCACCAACCTTCATCGAGGCTGGCCTCATGAAGGAGGCTCGTGGGTCCCAGCCGTTCAGCATCCACAAGTTCCCCAGCTCTGCCATGAGTCAGGTCACCGCCCTCTAGGGTCCTGGGAGAAAGGCTGGACCTGATGGTCTCTCAACACCTCCCAGCCCCACAGGTTGGGGGGCTGTGGCCTGGGGACCCCTGGGCCCTCCTAAGAGGGGTGCATCTCACCTCGGGGTTGTGGTGCCTCAGCCACACAGTCACGAAGTAGTGATACATGGGGAACAGTTTCAGCGCAAACTGCTCCTCTGTCATCACGGGGTACACGCTCTCCTCCAGGTGCTTCAGATAAAACTGCACCGTCTCACAGAAGGTCTCCATGGCTACCAACGGCAGCGGGGGAATGCAGTGGCACCAGAGGAGCTGGAAGCAGAACCAAGCCTTCCCAGCCCAGCTTCCTCGCAGGGAGTGCTCATGCCTTGCCATAGTGAGAAGCTGCTTCCTGCCCTTCCACCCCCCCCCCGCCCACAGTGTCCCCATTTTTACCCTGCAAACCTGCGTGTGCGAGCATTGAGCACTCAGGGGTGTCTGGGTCCCTCCCCTTCAAGGGCACAGATGGGGTCAAGGGCAAGGCCTGGAGCATGACCCTGCCCACATCCTGGGGATTCCAGGTCAGAGGGCGGCAAACACATGCGGCCCTCTTTTTCTCAGGCACTAGGGCTTTTTTTTTTTTTGAGATGGAGTTTCGCTCTTGTTACCCAGGCTGGAGTGCAATGGCGCGATCTCGGCTCACCGCAACCTCCGCCTCCTGGGTTCAGGCAATTCTCCTGCCTCAGCCTCCCTAGTAGCTGGGATTACAGGCACGCACCACCACGCCCAGCTAATTTTTTGTATTTTTAGTAGAGACGGGGTTTCACCATGTTGACCAGGTTGGTCTCGATCTCTCAACCTCGTGATCCACCCACCTCGGCCTCCCAACGTGCTGGGATTATAGGTGTGAGCCACCATGACCGGCCCAGCTTTTTTTTTTTTTTTTTTTTTTAAGCCTTTCAGCGCACGAGAACATTAAGTAATCAAAATCTGGGGCAAGCTGATCAGATTGAAATAGCATCTAAACCCAGCTCCCGTCAAGCCCCACATGGAGCCGTTTTCCCCGGTCGCTTCTCCTGTGATCGCTCACCACCCTCTGTCCTCTCCTGACTGCTTAACTACAAAGCAAGATAAATGGAGTCACAGTAGCAGCTTCTTCCCTCTAAGCCTGGATCTTCTAAAAGGCACCCGCCCTGTCTCAGCCTCCTGTGCCTCAGGGAGCCAATCAGAGACCACTCAAAGTAGAAGATGAAGCAAACTTCTTTGGAGAACAAATGAACCGTGTACCTCTTGTTCAACAACCCCTCCATCTGCCCTTTACCCAGCAATCTCTCTCCAGTGCCCTGATCGAGCCAGACCTGCAGGTCCAAGTGGGACATTCACCACCACAAATCGCCTGGCGTGTCTTGGCTTCAGTGGCAAGTCTCAGCATGGTGATATGGTAGCCAGGGTGATGCCCATGTACGGCATGAACTCAAACACTGCGAGGTTGTGGGGGAGATTACAGGAGGCTGGGGGTGAGCAGGGAGAAGGCAGAGAGGACAACCCTGCTGCCCTCCACTGCCAACAGTCCAGAGCTCGCTCAGCCCTCTGCCCTGGCCGGGGCCCAGGAAATGGTCCAGGTATCAGAAAAGCATTCAAAAGTAAGCTAGAGGCCGGGTGCCGTGGCTCATGTCTGTAATCTTAGCACTTTGGGAGGCCGAGGTGGGGAGATTGCCTGAGTTCAGAGTTTGAGACCAGTCTGGGCAACACAGTGAAACCCGTCTCTACTAAAATACAAAAAATTAGCCAGGCGTGGTGGCACGCACCTGTACTCCCCGCTACTTGGGAGGCTGAGGCAGGAGAATCGCTTAAACCCGGGAGGTGGAGGTTGCAGTGAGCTGAGATCACACCACTGTACTCCAGCCTGGGTGACAGAGAGAGACTCCATCTCCAAAAAAAAAAGGAAGCTAGAAACAGGTGATGGAGGAAGAAAGCCAGGCAAAGGAGAAGAAGGGGAAGAAGAGAGAGGAAGAAGAAAGAGGACAAGGAGAAGAAAGTGTAGGTCAGACAGAGGGAGGGAAGAGACAACAGAGGAGCCTCAGGGAAACCAGAGCAGGAAGCAGAAAGAAAGAAGCAGCTCCCAGAGTGCATCTGTCTTCCCGGACCCAGGCCAGCCTCCTTCAGGTGTCCCACAAACATTCTTGGGTGAACACAGAAGCAGGGATAGCAGGTGAGAGCAACGGACTGTGAGAAGGCACGAGGCCAGCAGAGAAAAAGAGCGGACGGAGAAAGGAATCGCAGAGAGCGGGAAGAAAGGGAGCCGGGAGAAAGGGACCTGGAAGAAAGGGACCTGGAAGAAAGGGAGCCGGAAGAAAGGGACCTGGAAGAAAGGGAGCTGGGAGAAAGGGACCAGGAAGAAAGGGACCTGGAAGAAAGGGAGCCGGGAGAAAGGGACCAGGAAGAAAGGGACCTGGAAGAAAGGGAGCCGGGAGAAAGGGACCTGGAAGAAAGGGAGCCGGAAGAAAGGGAGCCGGAAGAAAGGGACCTGGAAGAAAGGGAGCCGGGAGAAAGGGACCAGGAAGAAAGGGACCTGGAAGAAAGGGAGCCGGGAGAAACGGACCAGGAAGAAAGGGACCTGGAAGAAAGGGAGCCGGAAGAAAGGGACCTGGAAGAAAGGGAGCCGGGAGAAAGGGACCAGGAAGAAAGGGACCTGGAAGAAAGGGAGCCGGGAGAAAGGGACCTGGAAGAAAGGGAGCCGGAAGAAAGGGACCTGGAAGAAAGGGAGCCGGAAGAAAGGGACCTGGAAGAAAGGGAGCCGGAAGAAAGGGACCTGGAAGAAAGGGAGCTGGGAGAAAGGGACCAGGAAGAAAGGGAGCCGGAAGAAAGGGACCTGGAAGAAAGGGAGCCGGAAGAAAGGGACCTGGAAGAAAGGGAGCCGGAAGAAAGGGACCTGGAAGAAAGGGAGCCGGAAGAAAGGGACCTGGAAGAAAGGGAGCTGGGAGAAAGGGACCAGGAAGAAAGGGACCTGGAAGAAAGGGAGCCGGGAGAAAGGGACCAGGAAGAAAGGGACCTGGAAGAAAGGGAGCCGGGAGAAAGGGACCTGGAAGAAAGGGAGCCGGAAGAAAGGGAGCCGGAAGAAAGGGACCTGGAAGAAAGGGAGCCGGGAGAAAGGGACCAGGAAGAAAGGGACCTGGAAGAAAGGGAGCCGGGAGAAACGGACCAGGAAGAAAGGGACCTGGAAGAAAGGGAGCCGGAAGAAAGGGACCTGGAAGAAAGGGAGCCGGGAGAAAGGGACCAGGAAGAAAGGGACCTGGAAGAAAGGGAGCCGGGAGAAAGGGACCTGGAAGAAAGGGAGCCGGAAGAAAGGGACCTGGAAGAAAGGGAGCCGGAAGAAAGGGACCTGGAAGAAAGGGAGCCGGAAGAAAGGGACCTGGAAGAAAGGGAGCCGGGAGAAAGGGACCTGGAAGAAAGGGACCTGGAAGAAAGGGAGCCGGAAGAAAGGGACCTGGAAGAAAGGGAGCCGGGAGAAAGGGACCTGGAAGAAAGGGACCTGGAAGAAAGGGAGCCGGAAGAAAGGGACCGGGAAGAAAGGGACCTGGAAGAAAGGGACCTGGAAGAAAGGGAGCCGGGAGAAAGGGACCTGGAAGAAAGGGAGCCGGGAGAAACGGACCAGGAAGAAAGGGACCTGGAAGAAAGGGAGCCGGAAGAAAGGGACCTGGAAGAAAGGGACCTGGAAGAAAGGGACCTGGAAGAAAGGGAGCCGGGAGAAAGGGACCTGGAAGAAAGGGACCTGGAAGAAAGGGACCTGGAAGAAAGGGAGCCGGAAGAAAGGGACCTGGAAGAAAGGGACCTGGAAGAAAGGGACCTGGAAGAAAGGGAGCCGGGAGAAAGGGACCTGGAAGAAAGGGAGCCGGGAGAAACGGACCAGGAAGAAAGGGACCTGGAAGAAAGGGAGCCGGAAGAAAGGGACCTGGAAGAAAGGGACCTGGAAGAAAGGGACCTGGAAGAAAGGGAGCCGGGAGAAAGGGACCTGGAAGAAAGGGAGCCGGGAGAAACGGACCAGGAAGAAAGGGACCTGGAAGAAAGGGAGCCGGAAGAAAGGGACCTGGAAGAAAGGGAGCCGGGAGAAAGGGACCAGGAAGAAAGGGACCTGGAAGAAAGGGAGCCGGGAGAAAGGGACCTGGAAGAAAGGGAGCCGGAAGAAAGGGACCTGGAAGAAAGGGAGCCGGGAGAAAGGGACCTGGAAGAAAGGGAGCCGGGAGAAAGGGACCAGGAAGAAAGGGAGCCGGAAGAAAGGGACCTGGAAGAAAGGGAGCCGGAAGAAAGGGACCTGGAAGAAAGGGAGCCGGGAGAAAGGGACCTGGAAGAAAGGGAGCCGGAAGAAAGGGACCTGGAAGAAAGGGAGCCGGAAGAAAGGGACCTGGAAGAAAGGGAGCCGGAAGAAAGGGACCTGGAAGAAAGGGAGCCGGGAGAAAGGGACCTGGAAGAAAGGGAGCCGGGAGAAAGGGACCAGGAAGAAAGGGACCTGGAAGAAAGGGAGCCGGAAGAAAGGGACCTGGAAGAAAGGGAGCCGGGAGAAAGGGACCAGGAAGAAAGGGACCTGGAAGAAAGGGAGCCGGAAGAAAGGGACCTGGAAGAAAGGGAGCCGGGAGAAAGGGACCTGGAAGAAAGGGAGCCGGGAGAAAGGGACCAGGAAGAAAGGGACCTGGAAGAAAGGGAGCCGGAAGAAAGGGACCTGGAAGAAAGGGAGCCGGGAGAAAGGGACCTGGAAGAAAGGGAGCCGGGAGAAAGGGACCAGGAAGAAAGGGACCTGGAAGAAAGGGAGCCGGGAGAAAGGGACCTGGAAGAAAGGGAGCCGGGAGAAAGGGACCAGGAAGAAAGGGACCTGGAAGAAAGGGAGCCGGGAGAAAGGGACCTGGAAGAAAGGGAGCCGGGAGAAAGGGACCAGGAAGAAAGGGACCTGGAAGAAAGGGAGCCGGAAGAAAGGGACCTGGAAGAAAGGGAGCCGGGAGAAAGGGACCTGGAAGAAAGGGAGCCGGAAGAAAGGGACCTGGAAGAAAGGGAGCCGGAAGAAAGGGAGCCGGAACAGGCCCATCCAGCTGTGGGAGGCAGGCCCCTCCGCTCCACCCTGAGCGCCCTCCCGTCTTCAGACTTCGTGATAATAAGATTGTACAGATGTATAATAAAGAAATAATAATAAAACCCACAGGACTCCCCTGGCTGGGCCCCCTCCCTCTGGCGCCATCCATGTGTCCCTCTCTCCTGGGCCTCTGGCATGAGCACCCAACAGGCCATTGCTTCCCGCCTCTGGCCCCCCCAGCCGCTGTCCCTTGTCCTCTTTCCAGGCTAACACTCCCTGCTTTCCCTTCCTCCCCTCCCCTCCCACCTCAGCCAGGCCTTCATCCCAGCAAGCCGTGAGGCTCCCACCTCCCACCTTCTGCTGCCTCATCTGACTGTAGCCCTCAGCAGGATGGGTTTTACAGGGGCCTTCACCCGTCGAGATTACTCTCCCTGCACCAGGCCTCACATTCCATGCTGTCTCTCATGACTCCTCCTGAGCCTTCCCAATGCCGGGGCTCCTCCAGACCGGGTCCTTCTCTCTCTACTTTCACTCCTGGGTTTCAATGGCTTTGAACATCCCCTACGCTCTGAGGTCACCAAGGACCAAGGCCAAGGTAAGACCTGCCCTCTGAACTCCGCACCACAAATCAACTGCCCCCTCCACCTCGGACCTCCCACAGGTCACGTGAGCTCCACACACAGCACGAAGTTCTTCCCTCGACCTCCCAGCTCTCCATGCTCCCAGCTTGGCTAAGGGGGTCACCACGCTCCCAGTGGCTTGCCGCCTCCGCTCCTTCTCCCCCCATGGCAGGTCCCGTTTCAGAGCCCCTTCCCACCTATCACCACTCACTACGTGCTTCTCAGCCCAGCCACCATGACAGGTACGCACCTCCATCCAGGCAACAGCCAGAAAGGCCTTCCCAGAACCTACATTCACCGGCAACTCTGCAGGTTAATATCCCTCAGTAGCTTCCTAGTGCCCAGGCAAGTCCCCACGGCCCCGCCTCACCCTCCGCCTCATCTCACTCTCGCTCCTTAACTCCAGCCACAGCCTCCTCTCAGCTCATCAGAGAAACCAAGCTCTGCTCTGCCCCAGAGCCTTTGTGATGTTCTCTCTGTGTAGAATGTTTTCCCCATCCCATGCTTCACACGGACACCTTCCTCTCCACCTTCAGCTCTTAGCTGAAATATTGCTACCTCACCGAAGGCGGCAGAGATGTGGTCCCCTCCCCTTAGCCAAATCTCAAACGGCCACGTGGCTATTCTCATACCCATCACCTCGTGTTATCAACGTCATTTTCTTGTTTGCCTGTTGGTCCTTTCTGAGCACAGGAGCCGTGTGTGTCTTATTCCGTGTAGCAGTCATGTACCCGCCACAAGGCCTGCATGGGGTAGGTGCTCTGTGTCCGCTTCTGGGATGAAAGGAAGGGAGGGAGGATGAAGAGAGAAGAAGGAAGGAAGGAAGGAAGGAAGGAAGGAAGGAAGGAAGGAAGGAAGGAAGGAAGGAAGGAAGGAAGGAAGGAAGGAAGGAAGGGTAGGGAGGAAATGGAAAAAAAAGAGGGAGAGAAGAAAGGAAGGAGGGAGAGAGAGAGTGAAGGAGGAAGGAAGGAGAAAAAGAAAGGGAGAAGGAGGGTAAGGAGTAAGTAGTAAGGCAGGCAATAAAAAAAGGAAAAGAGAGAGGAAGGAAGTAAATTAAAAGACAAAGAACAATGAAGGTGAAGGGGAAACAGTAGAGAGAGGGAAGAAGGATGAGAGGCAGACACACACAGAGAGAATCTTAACAGCTAAGAGAGACAAAGGGACTGCAGAGACAAAAGGAAGAAATTTTAGAGGGAAAAAGAGAGAAATGGAAGAGAAGGCGAAGAAGCAAACATGGGGACAGATGGAAGAGGGAGGAAAGGAAGGGAGGGACAGGAGCAGGACATAAGACACCTTCACCAACTGGGCCTCCAGGAAAAGCCTCCTGCTCCAGGCTCTCTCCATCCCTCCTGGCTCCCTTGGGCTCAACCTTACACCTGCTATGAGAAGTAACTGCACAGGGCTGTGGGCATTCTGGGCCAGGCCCCAGTGGCCCAGCTCCTGGGCTGGCAGAGGGAAGGCACCAATGGAGCCTGGGGTCCTACCTCCGGGATCTCCCTCATCTCCTTGGAGGCGATGGCCACCAGCCTCCGCACGCACTGCTCCTCCAGCTCCCCCTCCTGCTGGATGATCCCCTGGAGGATGTTGTAAATGTTGACCTTGCGCTGGGTGGAAATCTGGGAAACAAGTATGGTGGGTGGGATGGACCCAAGCACAAGTCCACCTCTCTCTCCCACTGTCTTCCTTCCCTGCACCCCAACCACCAGCCTCCAATCTCTTAGATCTCGACTCCTCCATTTCCAAATCCTCCTGCTTCCCTTCTCCTGCCCTACTCATCCCACTGGCCCTGTCGATACGGCTTGTATATCTGTATTCCTGTCCCTGATTTCAGTCAATATCTGGCGAGGCAGGTGTTAAGCAATCAACACACAGGGTTCTCTATGCATGGGGCACCGGCCACCTTGAAAGCCCTAGAAGGCAGGCTCACCAGGGAGCATGTGGGCCAGGAAAACTGCCTCTTACTCTCTTCTCATTCCTGCATGATAGTGCTTATCACCACTGAAAATGACCTGGTTTAGGATGGGATTGGGCAGGTGGACTGCACATCCCAGATCACACCTGGCGGGTCGTATTTGAGAATACTCATTTAATCAGCCACGGAAAGCTACTCTTAAGGAGTGAGGGTTGACTTTCTATGTGGTGCCATTGCCTGTGAAGCCCTCAGGAAAAAATGTCCTGCTACCTCTACTGGTAGGGAGGTCACTCCCAACAGTCCAGAGATCTTAGCAAATTTGGGGGACCCTAAGAAGAGGGAAATTCACCCAAATGTGTAAGTTCTGCGGGTGAAATCCAGTACAGGGAGTCTTGGTCTTGGTTTCCTATTTTGGGGACAGCAAATAATAGGGGTTTGTACGGCTCCCAGAAATTAATGATGTGGCCTTAGTAGCTGCTCAGTACTGTGTGGCTCAAGACCAGTGTTTCTCTGTCTTTATTATTATTACCATTATTATTACTCCCAAGGGCATTTAGACCTTTTTTCCTAATCATGCCCCAATGACACTTTAATGACACAGATATGCACCTGTTCATGTGCCGTATACATATCTGTGCTTTACACATGAAAAAGTAAAATTGTCTTCGTCCCCCAAGAACTAGTTTAACTTAATTGGAGGCAATATCAGCCTATTGAGAATGCAGGCTCTGGATTTCCACAGTAAACTCAAGGAGGCCAATATGCTTAATTAACACACTTACTGCACCCTATATGAATAGCCAGGCAAATTATGAGACGATCGGCCTTTTTTTGTGATCAAGAATAATCTTCGGAGAATATTTATAGTCACAAGAGAAAAACTGTCAAACGCTCAGAGATAACAAAAGCAATCACTGAGTAGCCTTCCAGGGCAGCGCTTGCTTCTGTCTGGCAGACGCTGTGGAATTACTGGATTCTGTAGAGTGTGCATCTGCGATTGCCAAAGCCACTTTACATCTCTGTAAGGAAAAAAGTTCAGTCCTAGAAAACTGATGACAACGCACGTGTTTCCTCCATAGCAATGAAAATGATTCCAGTTCGTGGCAATGCAAATGGATTTTGTCTGGTAAAGCATATAAATCTCTATAGGTAAAATTCTCATTTGAACAGCTTTTAACGTCGTACTGGTTCCTTAATTAATTAAGAAGTAAACAAAATCTTTGATGCAGGTTAATTTTTTAAATGTGCCTGTTTGTTTATTGCCTGTTTATTGCCACTGGTGACTCAGTAAGATCTGTGTGTTAATCATGGTTTCTTATTTTCGGCAATTCCTGATGCTTTGACACCTGGCTCCTAGCTGACGCTAGAGACTACTCCTTCAGAGCTAGCCAACTCCTAGAGATAGTAAGCAAGGTGTCCACGAGCACGTTTTTAAATACAAAATGACTGTTATGGACTGAATCATGTGTCCTAAAAATTCCTGTGTTGAAGTCCTAATCCCCAGTGGGATAGTATTGTTGGTGCCCTTATCAAAGGGGGAGAACACTCAGGAGAGCTTTCTCTGTGTCTGTGCATGCACAGAAGACTCACGTGAGGACACACTGAGAGGGCAGTCACGCAAGAAAGCCAGCAAGGAAGCAAGGCTTCGCAGAAACCAAATTTGCTGACACGTTATATTAGTCTGTTCTTGCACTGCTAATATAAACATACCCGAGACTGGGTAATTTATAAAGAAAAAGAGATATAATGGCCTCACAGTTCCACCTGGTTGGGAGGCCTCATAATCATGGTAGACGACAAAGGGGAAACACAGTCACATTTTACATGGCAGCAGGCAGGAGAGAATGAGAGCCAAGAGAGAGGGGAAACCCCTTATAAAACCATCAGATCTTGTGAGACTTATTCACTACCATGAGAACAGTATGAGGGAAACCACTCCATGATTCAATTACCTCCCACCAGCTCCCTCCCATAGCATGTGGGAATTATGGGAGCTATAATCAAGATGAGATTTGGGTGGGGACACAGCCAAACCATATCACACCTCAATCAGGGACTTCCAGCTTCCAGAATTGTGAGAAAATAAATTTCTGTTTTCTAAGCCACTCAGACTATGGTGCTCCATTAGGGCATCCTGAACAGACAAGTGTTCCAACTAACCCGGAGCCCCTCTCCCAATCACCTCCTTTACTGGGCTGTCACAGTCTGGGCCACTATCCTCCTGCCCTAATCACTCAGGGCAGGTATCAGACAACTGGGGACAGCTACTTTGCCCCAGAGTCCACAGAGAATATTCAAACTAGCCAATCCTGAGCCCTCTTACCCTACCTCACCGGTCTCTTTCCACAAAAACCACAATAAAGCATGATGCCTATAATTTCTCCTGACTCCTTCTGCCTCCTCATGGACCCTAGTGCTTCCCTGTGCGATCCTGCATGGTGTGGTGGGCCCCTTCTTTTGGGAACTGTGAGTACCAAACTGCCTTTTCTCCTTTCTTTTTTTTTCATTATTATGGTTGTTGAGACAGAGTCTTGCTCTGTCACCCAGGCCAGAGTACAGTGGCACAAAATGGCTCACTGCAGCCTTGATTCAAACAACAATGCTCCCACCTCAGCCTGCCAAGTAGCTGGGACTACAGACAGGTGCCACCATGCCTGATTAATTTTTTTTTTTCTTTAGAGATGTGATCTTGCTATGTTGCCGAGGCTGGTCTTGAACCCCTGGCATGAACCACCATGCCCAGCCAATAAACTGTGCTTTCAAGAGCAAGTGTCTCCTGAGCTGTTGATCTCACCATATCTGAATAAAAACAGAGCCTACGTTTTTTAAACAGCCCGTGTTAGTCTGTTCTTGCATTGCTCTAAAGGAAGACCTGAGGCTGGATAATTCATAAAGAAAAGTGGTTTATTTTGGCTCATGGTTCTGTAGACCATACAGCAAGCATGCTGCTGGCATCTGCTTCTGGTGAGGTCTAGGAAGATTCTACCCATGGTGAAAGGCAAAAGGGGAGCCAGACAGAGGAGGAGCCAGGCTCCTTTAAACAGCCAGCTCTCATGTGAACTCATTACCACAGGGAGCGCACCAAGCCATTCATGAGGGATCTGCCTCCATGACCCAAACACCTCCTTCCAGCCTCCAACGCGGAGGTCACATTTCAACGTGAGGTTTGGAGGGGAGACACATCTAAGCCACATCACAGCCTATTCTGAAACTCCCTTGCTTGTGCTTTCCAGCCCCTGCAGACCTTCCTTGTGCTTTCCATACATCTTTCCATATCTAAAGAAGGGCCAAAATAGCAAGTCAATGACCACACATCTAACAGAGAGCATCTGGAGGAGAACACTTGACTTCAGCAAGGAAGTGACAAAAACCCTCTGAGGCACAGAAATTCAAAATGGCAGCATAAAGAAGGGAATGAAGTAGCCAGAGGGATTAGCTCAGGGCCAAGAGGGACTGACCATTGCAGGGAAAGGTAAGTGGGAGATCTCTAGCAGTCCATATTCCCAACACAGACACCTGTAACCCTGACTCAGGAGAGCCCCTCAGCCCTCACAGGCTCTGTATAGGGAGCTGGCTGGAGTCCACACTGACAGAATCCCTCAAAGAGGGAACACATGCTGGGTTCTTCCCACATTTATCCCCTACCCTACCCCAGAGCTGCTGTAGCACAGCATCATTTTAAGAGTGAAGCCACCAACAGACTACTTCTGCCCTGGCAACAACAGTCCCTGTGTTTCCACATCTCTGAGGCCCCACTGACATCCTCCCACATCCACCCAGAGGACTGCAACATCATGGTACCACCTGGACCCAGCAGGGCAGCTATATTCTTGGCATCCAAGCCCATTCACCATCCTACACCCTGGGGAAGAGGTAGTCTGTTATATCAAAAAAGCTGCACCCAGAGACAGCCAAAGCATACATTCCCCGAAACCTGAGAGACACCTGCCCCGGGCTGCTGTCACTGACAGTGATCCTGCTCCAAAAGTGACAGGGTGTAAGGACTTGCCTGCCAAGAGCCTACCACCGCCACCACTGGCAACCAGACAGGCCACCCAGGGGCCCTAGAACCAGTGTGCATATCACACATATTCATGCATATCACCCAGGGACCTGAAGAACAGCCTGCCGAGGCCCGCTGCCACCACTGTCTGTGAATTCATCTCCTCTAGAATCAGAGCTACTGTGTGCTTGCCTGTATCCCCAAGGGCCCTAAGGATTGATTCACCTGGCATCCCTGTCTCCAGCACTGCACAAATAACTCCCAGCCTGCACTCCCAATAACTGCAGGAACTCACAGACACTGATGATGTTAATGACAGCCGAAGAAACTGTACAAGGACTACATCACTCCACACACCAAAAACCAAAGCCCAAGCGCCCTATCCAACCAGCATTATAGATACATCTACAGCAAAAAGCCTTTTTCTTCTTTTTAAAGCACTGAGGCTGCCTGAGTTGAATTTCCAGCCAGGAAACACGTCATTTTTTGGTTTGATATTTGTGTGACTTCTGTCATTTATTGATCTTCTTTTCTTTTTTTTTTTTTTTTTTTGAAAGAGAGAAAGAAAGAAAGAAAAAAAAGGAATGAAGAAGAGGAAAAAAGAGGAAGAAAAGGAGGGAGAGAGAACCGGAGTGTTGTTTAGTCGCCCAGGCTAGAATGCAGTCTAAAAATGGGTATTGAAAACTTCCCTTATACCATCA